GGAGTTTAGTAGAGGGGCGTGGGGAAATGGATCTCGTTCTCGGGGGAGAGGAAAAGCTTGGTAGGAGACTAGCTAGGAGGCTAGGGGAGCTAGAGGATCGGAGTTCCAGAGTGGGGGAACTTGGAAGTATGATGACGGTGGTGGCCGAGGGGTTCTTGCAGAGAGAGTAGGCTACTCTGTGTGAATTCAGGTAGCTACTCTATCCAAGAAATCTAGAGTTACAACATATAGAGAGGCAGATACTCCAGCCATCCTGTCGAGTATGTAGAAGATTCTAGTGAGGAGTAGTAGTACAACGAGAGGATTTATTTTTATGCTAGCAGCAATTAGGAGTCAGAACTGGGTTATCTGCAGTTGCAATAACCCCCCAGCTCAGGGTCAAGCTTTGCGCGTCATGAACCGAGATGCGTGTACTCACATACTTTTTTTTCCTTCTTTTCAGCTGGGAATTTCGGGCGAGTGAGAATGTATGTGTGGACTTGTGATATCGTGCAAAACCGGTTGTGTGCACGATGGGTGGTTGGTAGGTGGGCAGGTACGTGATGGGAGGAACTTGAATTTGCTCGTGGTTGGGTGCATAGGTATCGATAGACAACCGTGGGTACAGTGTTCATGATCATTACCATCGCGAGTGCGAATTGGAGTGAATAAACTCTGGAGTTGCTGTCTTTATCACTACAATATTAACACAAATTATTTTTGCGATTGGAATGAGATAAATTCTTAGTTGTCCTCGATACCATCTTCTTGCCGTCACAAGTGTGTTCGTATTATCTTGCAACAACTGCTATACGGTGTTGTAGCTACACAAGACTACATGTGTCCTGAAGGTTTTCAAGCTGGTTTGGGGGCGGGGGGGGAAATGCGTAAAAGTGAGTGATAATGTGTGACGCACCATTCCCTCGCATAACTCATGCCCAACTCCCCCTCAAATCCGTTACAGAGAGATCCGAAGCCTTCGTTCGCCATTCTATCTAGCGCTGCTGCTAACACATATCCAGTTGTCAGTGGCGGTTAGACGCAGATTTCGATCAGCGCAATATGCAGGGAAGCCTGCAGATTAAACATGTCTCACATCACTCACCACTAACTAATCCATGCAGCCTGCGAGATCTGAAAGCACCAACGCAACGCAATTCAGATCAGATCAGGGTGGTGGGTGTTTAATACAGAGCAGATCATATACATCTTACTTTAACCATTCCAATAATGTTCATGATCAGCATAGAATACAGCAACCTACATCATGCTGGGACGGGCATTCCAGTTACTCGTACATTCGCATTTTACTCAACCCGGGATAGAGGTCTCGCTTGAATCGTCGGGTACCTAATTTAAACACTCCCTTTCGCCATAGACCTGCTTTCTCTGCTCGGAGTCGCGGCTCTCTGTCTCGTGAGGAGTTGGTGAGACCGACATTACATTGCGCTCTTAATCCTTTTAATTCTTTATCCAGCCCGGAAAGAAAGCCTGAAAACCCGACACGATGGAATATCCCCTTTTCTTCCTTCACCTATCCTCAGTCCGCTCGCTGCTGCCCAATTCGCTTAGCCACAGGCCTGCCGTTCTTGTTGGTGTTGCCCAACCAGACGAGCCCAACCGTCTATCGGCTAATACGCTCTCCTGTCCACGTGAAGGGCCATGTTCCAGACCAAGAATCCAAGATATTCCGCCCTTATGTCCTTGGTGTGCCTTGTCTGGAAATCCTCTACGTAGTAGAGAAGATCTGATTAGATGTTGCTGTTGATTACTCGCAACCAATTCAAATTCCACGCCCCCATCCTATCCACCAGCTTTAAAAGATGCACAAGCCTCTACCCCCCCCCCCCCCCCGCAACGCCCCACCGGGTTGGGCGGTGTTTACCCTCGGTTTGGCCCACTCGCCTATCAAAACTCAACTCAAAATGACCGCCAGATCAACAGTGGCTGACACAGATGCAGGGATGGGGGTGCTCGAATTACAGCTTTAGGAAATGAGAGAACTCTAGTGTACATAATGTACACACCTACAAAGGTGGTACAGCAGAGAGGAGAAAGCCTAAGCTTAAAAATTAGGTACTCTATATGTGATAATCTGAGCTGAGGTGAAACTCAATTCGGTTGCCGTTTCTGCCGTGGGGCTTTTTTTTTTGTACTGGTGATGGGGTTCTTTTTTGGGAGGGGAGGGGAGCGCGAGGTTAATTTAACTCAATTTGAGCGCGCGGGATGGCATGCAAGATCTGGAGAGTTGGCGGTTGCCGTATTGAGGAGAATGAGGAGAGGAGGGATCGTGAAGATTTTGTTTTGCAGGTTTTGTGCTGCATTGGCTGTATTACAACCAACAATGATACAATAGCTAGCCGTCATTCCGGGCGGGAAACATCGGGGCTTGGAGCTCAATGGAGTCAGAACCGGTGACTACACGAATTCCGCGTGGGACGAAAAAGTAAGAGAGAAGGGTAAAACGGGAGAATGTATGTATATCCTCTTCGGATTGTTTGCCATTGTGAGGAAGCAGTGCGAGGGAAGGTGAGCGTGAGAATTTGCACCGTTTTTCTCCGAAAATAAAGTGTAGATGTCATGGAGGATTTGGCTTTAGTCTGCTCCTGTAGTCATGTAATCCATATCGTTTGTATTCAAAGCCAGACTTAGCATTTGAATTTCAAAGAGATTAATTTTCTGAAATAAAATACCTACAGGATCTTAGGAGCTGTTTGATTCTACATGTAGATGTAGGTACTGGTAGTGAGCGAGCCTTACGGTCTACAGTTTGAATCCCCCGGTATTGAGATAGGTGTATATTCTTAGATACGCAGATACGTACCTGATGCGATGGTGAACGAACTTTATCTCTTCCTACCGCTCCCAAGGTCCATCATGTGTGGATACCCAACAAATACTCCGAACTGAACAGTCTGATGCGGGTTATTTTCCACCAAGTCCATAATCCCGAACTCGAACAAGATCTTAACCTTCCTATTCTTTGCAGGTACAGCAAACCCACCATAATTCCATTTCCACGGTGGCCGAAATTCGCTGGAGGTACCGTGGGGATAGAATTTAGAGAGAAGTGTTTGTTAGTAAAACACAGGCCTTATCTTCTTTGAACGCTAGCTGGAAGTTTCGTAGGAATTAAATTTCGACAGGATAGAATTAGGATCGGTTTTCTGTACACAAAAGGTACACGAAGACTCGCCATATATAGCAAAACCTTCCATAATTCCATATCCACGGTGGCCGGATTTTGCTGGAGGCGATGTAGAAATGAATAAAGTTTAACGAGAAGCTTAGTGTTTGTTAGTTTGAACGCTGGAATCTTCATAAGGAGGGCAGAATTACGAGCCTCGCCATACGAAGGAACTGCCAGCAGCGGCGGCAATACCGTATGCATGCAATCCAAATCCTGGCAAAAGCAGCAGAAAGCCCCCCCCCCCCTCTCCAGATACAAGCCACGCCAGTCGCACGCTTCCAAGAATACATACCAGTCGAGTCCTCGTTCGGCGAGATTAACACCCCGATCTGCATTCGTCGTGGCTAGAGTGTAGTGGCGCTGCCTGGCATGACAGAATACACTGGATTCCAGCGTATACCCCCTCTATCCAGGACCCCGTTGATACTCTACCAACAGAGTCATCCTATAAATTCGAGAAAAGCGAGACTTCCGTCCGCCTATATACGTCGCGCGTTGTTGTGTACGGTGAGGTTGTGTGAGCATAAGACATCACTCGGGTCTTGGCGTTGCCAGTTTCCCGTTAGGGAACCGGCGAGCGGACTAAAGAGACCAGCACCGAGATGTTTCCCCCAACGACGGCGGGATCTATGTCTTGCAACGTCCCGTCAATAGCGCATGTCTCGGGAGTGGAATTACAAGGTCAGACTTCGCTAAATATCCGTGTCTCGGCTTACACGGTCCACCTGGAGGATAACGGGCGGGGGCCGACCGCGTGAAAGGAAGTCTACCGTCTAGTTAATTTATCCTCTACGGTCTCGTAATTATAAATGATAGGCGATAAACCAAGGACGGTTGCGGATGTCGCAATTAGCTTAGGAGCTGGAAACAAATTTATGTCTAATTTCAGTATAAATTCCTTAATAAACCGGTTATCTGAAGATTTTCCTAACATTATGTTCGTACCTTTAATTATTTGATAGTTTTCGAAGACGCCGTGGAGGAGGACTTTAGACCATTACTGAAAGATCCGGTGGTCTATGCCGCGGCTTAAGGATGTTTATGTAGCCAGATCGAGGCCTAAATTAAAACTATGCTGAACTATCACGACCCCAGAGTCGATCCGATCCGGCTGAGGTTATTGGACTCAAGTCTTTATCAAACCAAGGGATTTTCGGCTCAAATAATACGATACAGACTTGACTGGAGTGCCTGTAACCGACTTGAATCAATTTAAAAGTTTTTCCTTGTAAGCATTCAAATTTCCCGAGGGGGTTTTCCGAGCATAATAGGTACAGCCACTCTGCAAAAGTGTTCGTGATTCCGATTTCGGAGTGAGACATCTCTCCATAGGTAACCGTGGCGGACCATCAAAAAAAACCCAAGAGAAGACTTTCCCAGTGATCAATGGCGCCCGGAATCAATGAAGAATAAGATCAATGACCTATCTTCTTTTATATATAGTCACGAACTATATTATATATTTTTCGTTGTTTTAAATCTCAACATTAATTAATAACATCAACGTTACGGGTGCGCCACACTGCGCACTGGCATTAAAACTAAATCACGAACACTTTTGATGAGTGGCTGTACGAAAATATTCAAGTTCGTGTAAATCGACAGTCGAAAGTTGCCGACAGCCTATAGAGTGATATCTATGCGAATGTCAGTATAGATCCCTTGAAATAATGCATCTTAAGAATGTCTAGCTTTGATTCTCGAATGCTTCAAAGCTCTTATAAAATGGATACAATTCCCTCCCACAGAAAGCTCATCACAAACAATTACCAGTAGAATATCACACAGATTACAATTACCAAAACAAAAAAACCTACTAACATCACTCAGAATGTCGAACAATAACGCCAACACTAACAACACCAATAATAACAACAACAATAACAACTCAGAGGGAGAAGCAGGTCCACCAAGACCACCCTTCGGCCTCGTCACATTACGAACACCCAGAATAATACAGGCACATGTTGAGGGTGTAACGACGATGTTTCTTATCGGGGAAATCGCTGATGCCATGAACACACAGCTAGTACCCGAATTTGAGAGCTTCGAATTTGAGGAGGAGCACTCCGACCACGGCTCAGGATCCAGCAAGTCCGACGCCGACACCCCCGAAGAGCTACTCTGCAACATCTGCGGCCGCCGGCGGGAGTGGATCCGTTACGTCATGTGCGGGCATCGGGCGTGCGCCAGCTGCACGAAGAAGTTGTGGTGGTCGAGGATTAATAGACCGGATAGAGCGAGGGATCCGTGGCCGACTTCAATTCCGTGTCCGTTCTGCAGGGCCGAGGTGACGGCGGTCATTGATGAGAGGGAAGATTCGGTGGAGGGTGTTTATTCGGCGGTAAGTGTTCCGGGGGCGCCTGTTGTTGCAGGAGATACTACTGGGATTGCTGCAGGTGATGGTGGTACTGCGGTTGCGGCTGCGGCTGCGGCTGGTGGGGGTGAACGGGGGATGCTTATTGTGGACTGGATGTTGATGAGGTCGAAGGACGCATTATGGAAGTTGCAGCTTGAGATTGCGGAGCGTGCAGCAGCGGCGGGCGGCGGTGGAGCTACAGATAATGGTGAAGGACGTGCTGGTGGAGCATGGCATGATATTGGGGACTTGGACTGGAATGAATTCTTTTTTGAATAGCTTAGGTGGCTAAGGTAAGTTAGATCGGAGATCATAGATGATAGATGAGAGTTAGAGAGTATTGCAAGCAGCGCTCGAGTAGACGTTTAGGTATCGATGCAATGATTTAGTGCTATTTAGCTAGTTAGCGAGATGGAGATAAAATAATAGAAGAAAAACCATACTTGTCCTGCGTGTTATCTGGCTCTGGAGACGTATCTAACGCGAGAATTAGTTGCTAATATATTCCGCCATTGATAACGTGATTTGGCATCTGTTGAGCTAGCCAAGTATATGAATATAACATCATCATACTCGCCGTCGTTCTCTCATCCTACGGTAACTGGAGGGAGTAGTATCCCATGCTGCCATCTCTCCACGCTGGGGGAACAGCCATTGTTAGGCCGAATGGTGCTCTGTGGTAGTCTCGTGTATAAACTCACTGGTTACATGTAGTATAAGGTTGGTTACCATATGGCTTAGTTATGTATACGTAGCGGAGGCTCAGTGAAGAGACTGTACTCAGAAAGGACCACTTGTCAACATCATAGATGTGTCGCCAGGACCTATCTAGATCTAGTGTATACGTGTATACGAGAGAGATCTAGCCCTGTCTCCTTCTCTTCTCATCATCAATACAAGTACGTATAAACTATGTACATGTACCTCTCCAGAATATTACTTCATGCTCAATGTTGATAGAAGCTGGTAAGACGTGGTTTATTGCAAAGGATGGATTCTAGTTCACTATTTAACTAATCAACAATTAAAGCCAGGTATCGCCTAGATCAGCCCACTGCTCGAATATACCACGTATCCGCCCCCTCAACTACAGGCCAAGTACCTGCTCCTCCAACAACTAGCCGACTGTCATTGTTGTGGGCCTTTATTGACAAAGCTAAGTGATAAGAGAAACAAACGATGAAGAGTGTCAGAACAGAATGAACCCGAGAAATCACTGCGAACGAACAGCAACGTACCTTACATCTACAGCACTGATCAGTGTAGTTGAGGTCACAGTACTCCCGTTCCCGTTAGCACAGCCAGCAAGCAACGCTAGCACTTGTGAAAAGTCTACTATCTAATCTCCATCCGGCTAGTGCCGCCGCGACTAGTCGCACTAGCTAGCCGCACTAGTACACAACCTCACGCCGCTACCAAATGTAGCCACAGTTAGTAATTAACAACGTCTCGTTGTTCATCAACTACATGTATCTACCGTACAAGCTTTTTTTAAGGCCGCGCAGATCAGATCGCTCGGTCGGTATGACACGCATCTCCCCACGTCGTTGACATTCCCAACGGTCGCGGTCGGGGGATATCATAACGTCGTGTTTTTACCCCGGCCCCAACGCACGGGTACGGGTGAGGTGAAGAGTTTGGGCTAAATATACACACCGACTCATGTGGCGTTACAAAAGATCGCCCCGGTAAGCGTCCAAGGTCGCACACACACACACAAAGCAAGATTTCTCGAAAAGCCGATGGCACAACGTGGGGGACCAGGGTGGGAAGTGGACGAGATGTGTGCAAGGGGGGGGGGGGGGGCGGGATGAAACAACCGGACACGTGATCAGGGTGTCTGGAGTTTGTGGTGTTACGGGTTGAGATTAAGGAACAGACATCCCCGGATTTGGGCAGGGAGGGAAGGTACATGTAGTCTCGCGACATCTACAGATGGCCAGAGGGAATAGGGGCGGATGGAAGGGGCTTAATGGGACGTTGGAGATGGGGGATTCTTCATGGCATCTCACTCGCCGTCGTGGTTCGTCTGGCTCATGCAGGTACGAGGAGGATATCGATATCATGATCAGCATTGACGATACCGATACACGAAATATAGACATCTCTTGCAGTATACCCACCGGAAATAGTCGCTATAGCTCTTCACCTACCTACCTAGGTCTGATATATAAGGCAACTCGCCCACTCGCAGGCTGAGCTCTCCCACGCCGCACACCCACCCCTGGCTGGGGGACCGGGCTACATACAGGGGTCCACAAGTCGTCACTCGGCCCCGCGACGACAGCTTGTTTCCAAGAAATTGACGAGAGAAAACCTGCTGGGATGGCCAATAAACGCGTCGTCTTCTCCTGGAGCTCTTCTCGTTTGTGTTCGCAGTCGGAGACCTCAACACCTCAGCGCCATCATCGCCATCGTCACCAATCACCACCATTCGCCACCATTCATCTCAACTATCGTGTACCTGCCAAACATTGCACTCGAGTTGGCATCATCAGGGCCTGAGAAATCTCTACAAGGTCTGCACAGACCACACTGACCACACATCGCATTGGCCAACCAGCAACCCTCCACCAACTACCACTTACCACCTACCATCTTCTCTACGAATCACAATCTCTGGGAATCACAATCTACAATCTCCACCTACTACCACCTCCACGAATCAGAATCACAATCATCTCACTCAAGATTGAACCCCCACCCCATCCCAATCATGCCACCACTATCCCCCCGCCCCCCCTCCTACCGCCCCATCCCCCCACCCCGCGACCACCACCACACCAACGACGACGGCGACGACGACGATCAAAACCCCCCCGCCTACCCCACCCGCCTCTCCATCCTCCCCCCACCCTACGTCCGCGGCCCGCAGCCACCGCTTCCGCCCACGCCTCCCCCCGCACCAGACTCAGCAGACAAAGACCTGCCCTCCCTCCCCGCGCAATGGGGTGTTAGGCTCATCCCCAACGGCGTTCTTCCAGCCTCACCCGAAGACCCGCCCTCCCCGCTCTCAACTGCATTCCCAATACACGAGCGCCCACTGCCGCCGCTCCCGTCTGAGCCCGCATCCACATACCCAGTCTCTGGTGCGTTACGGCGGGCTATTAGTGATATGCGCCCATTGCCGCCGCTGCCGGGGAGTGAGCGCCCGCTTCCGCCGCCGCCGCCGTCGAGGGGAGGTGGGGATGTGGATATGACACCGCTGCTGCCGCCGCTACCGGGGGCGAGGGAGAGGGTGCCGGGGATGGTGGGGCAGATGCAGAGGGGGCCCGCGGGGAGGAAGAGGTCGTGGCAGGGGGAGTTGGGGAGGGTGGGTGTGGGGTTGGGGTGCGGGTTTGGAACTGGGGGGAGGGGGAAGGGGAGGAGGGCGGTGAGTGGTGGATGTTGAGGGGGGAGGTGTTGAATGCTTGTGACGGTGCTTTTGGAGGTGGAGATTGGGTGGTAATGGGCTAAAGCGCTGGCTGGTATGGGTTGCTGGCTTTACTGGGCTTACTAGGCGCGCGGTGCGGGTTGATGTGTCTTTACTCTTCCGTTATTTCGTTTACTATCGTTTTCTCCCCTCCCTTAGGTTTTTGACTGGTGTTGGCCCGTGATATTTTGGTCTTCTTGGTCTGAGATGAGGTGTATATCTGCATCGTTATGCCCGGGATTTTGTTTTACTCGTCCTACCCGTACCACAGCCCGAGCGAGCTATGGTTGCCCCTACTTGTTACCCATTTCCATTTTTTACATCTTGTTTGTCTGTCTGTCTACTGGAATCTGACCAGTTTCCAGTTCCAGTTGTATCTATCCCCCACCCCCCTCCCCCGCTTCTCTAGCTTTCTTTCCCCCTATGTTACGGCGTTTGGTATCCATGGGCCCGCTGTATATAACTATCCACATCGAAATACCAACTGATCAGCTAGCTAGCTAGCTGCACATACAAATATACATACCTACACATCTGATATCTATATCTATTACAGCGAGAGGCAGGACTGTTGAACGAAACGAGGAGTTTGAGTGTGTGTTTTGATGGCTGGATATGGATAGGTGGACTAATTAACCCTCCATATGTTTGTGTTGTGTTGTGGGTACGGTGGTTCTATTTCGATGTGGGTTGTGGGTTGTATTTGGGTGGGTTGTGGGGTGCAGCTGGAATAGAGGTTTAGAGGTATCTGTGGGATCATGGTCTGAGTGGACGATCTTACCAAAGAGCTATTCATGTGGCCATTGTTCATCCCGGTGCTTTGGTACGTGAAAATCTACTGCAGCCAGGGATGGTGCAGCATAACACAGATATTGATCTGCAGACAGGCCGTTCGAAAGTAGGATCAGGGAAGGATCGACAGGGGATTTACTCGGGTGAGAATGACTTTTACTGGCTAAGACAGATGGTGGTGAGATAGCTACATGTACTTTTACTCTACAATAAAGCTTGTTGCTTACGTTTCTTGATCTGGGGAGGGAGTGGTGTATCTGGTTTCCGGATTGCATGTACATGCATAGTGAATTAATCAATCAATAATAGCAATCATGAACTATCACTCGAATTGACTATCTCAGCGACTTGGCAAGCGAAACAATTTGTAATAACCGGCGAGGTCTTCTCTGAATCGTCTCTTCACGTGCACATTTACAAGCCACGTATATATAACAGGGCACCGGATAGTTCTGTCCTATCCAACCCAGTCACAGTAACAAGTGGACAAGTTGACAATTGGGGGTTTTTAAAATTTTATTGATAGACAAAGGAAAAGAAGAATGAGCGACTTGAACAAATGAAAATACAGTACTCGTGCAGTCACAAAACCGCCAGATACCAGCGCGACCAAACCTTCACAGGCATACCTAAAACAAAGATAGATGTACGTGACCTGGTGAATGAACGAGTAGAGAGAGCGTGATAAGGAAAGAAAGCAAGCTGACAAAAGAACAACGTAGTGTGGGGAATAAGTGCTATATCGAAACATATCTCTGCCTGCCAAAACCCTACCCCGTCTGGCCATGTTCATAATCGCCTTGATCAACCTTCCTGAACACAACAGAACTCTCCCCGCCGGAATACAGGTGTTCGGCTGCCTCAGCGGATGTACCGTCGCTACTAACAGTCTCAGAGGGCGCTCCCGCAAGCTCGAATGTTCCTAGTCGTGGATCTTGTGGGAGCTTGTCGATGACGGTACGGGTAACATTCCCCCAGCCCCCTTTGGCGAACCGGCTTTCAACGCGGGGGATGAATCTTTTGTGAACTTTCCGCATATGCTGCGTGAGGTTGTCTTTGCGGAGGAAACCTTTCTCCTCCCCAAATCGTTTACAGCCTGGGACAGTGCAATGATAAGGTCTGTAGGCTTTGAAGTGGTCCTCGAGTCCTTTTCGAGTATAGCATGTAAAGTTACACGCTACGTGTTTTTTACATGTGACTTTACCAGTCTCATCGCAGCAGTGGGGTATTCTGTTAAGAATTAATTAGATTATTTGGAAAGTGGGTTCTGGGAGAACAGGAACTTACTTTGAGGAATGCAAGCCAATAACGCAGTCACCAATAACAGAATTAGGCCGGGGTGGGTTTTTACCCTTTGTACACAAAGGATTCCGATTTAAGTACACAAGTGGCCCCCTTTCACAGCGCGCGCCATGTATATTCAGGATCCAGCCGGCATCGCGATTGGCGTAATATCGGCGAATTTCACCAGTAGAAACAAAGGGCCATCCCTCGATCTTTTGGTGTTCACCATCAATATCCCAGAGATGGTTATAGCAACCACGTGTACACAATAACTCCAGATTTTTAAAAGCGGACGCTCTATAAGCCCGAAAGGTGGCCCAGGGTCACGGTATGCATTAGCGTCAAAAAAAATTACTCACCCGTCCTGCAGCTGCATGTCTCTGCAGGTGCATGGATCAGGTTTGTTTTGAGACATGTCGGGCGAATCGCAAAGTCAGTGGCGTAGCAGGGGTATTCAAAGTTTAGATTAGTTGTTGGGGCAGGGCGTAGAATAGAGGAGCAGAGGTTCGGTGTATGAGGTGGGCAAAAGGCTGTGAAGTGGGATGGGGGGTGGGTGGCTCTTTATATTTTTTCATCCAATTTACAGCTGGCCGCTGGATTCTCCTGCGGTATCGAAATGTCTAGCTAGATTACCCCTGCGAGGTCGAAATCGCTATTGCATCATTCTAGAATGTGCAGGTACGAGGTATATTACGTACGTAGTCCCCCTATAGAATATCGATATGTAGATACCATTCTCTGTACCTCCTCACGATCACCCCCACATTCCTACAACTCCTCACTTTACAAAAAAAAAAAAAACGGGGTGAAATCGCTGCCTCAACAAGAACACCGCGTACCGTACAAATTCCGTATTACCAGCGAATTTGAATTAGCGGGAATATCGTAGTGAACTTACAGTATATAGTACTGTGTCTGCTTGAAATTTAGTCGACCGTCTCTTCTCGAACCTCTTGTCAAATCTGTACCTGATTCGTGGGAAGAAATATTTCATTTTCCACCCCACATGCTGTGATCAAGGCTCGTACTCTACATAGAGTCCCTATGGAGAGAACATGTGACACTTTACTTAGAAGCACTGGAGGCTCTCGGCCAGCAATCACAGATCGCTATTTCACAATAACTACACTTTGCTGACATACATGAACTGAAACCAAGCCACGGTCATTCTGGAGCCTGAGGGCATGCATGGAGCCTGAGGACATGCAGAGTGTCAGGATCGAGATTCCTTGGCATGAGGTTCAACAAAGCCTTGGCAAGACACAATAGATCCACGGAACTGTGCTGACTCAGCGCTTCATGAACTATCACTCTCTGAGCCCTTGTCCAGGATTGGAGACCACTAAAGAAACATCTATATTACGGGGATATGTCCAGAGCTACATAAATATAGAATCCCGTTAAACAAAAATCCCGGTTGCAGGAACAAAAGCCCATATCGCAATAAAACCTGTGAAAGCCTTGATTCTTTTGGTGAACCAACGTCAGCCCGAAGAAGCCAACCCAGGGCGCCCAGAGGCCAAAACCAAAGAATAATCACTACCAAGTACTAGTATACCTGCACAGGCTCTCTTCATATTGCTGGAGTATCAATAAACTTTGCTAAATGATTGAATTCAAACATATCATACCGGCACTTGTGTTACTGGACGATTGCATGAGCGCTGCATGCCGAAGGGCGAATCGAAAACCAAATCCTGACACCACGTGGAAGACGATACAGTAGGCTCTCGCTATAAGAATACGGTCGGGACCAAGAATATGTATCCTTATAGCGAATTAATAGCGAATTATCCTTATAGAAAGTGGGGAATGCTAGCAAAACGGCGGTTGCGGAACGGCCACTGGTATCCTTATAGCGAGTATATCCTTATATCAAATATCCTTATAGCGAGAGTCTACTGTACAGATATTAAAACTGTCATCCGAATGTATAGTTCGAAAACGATTCTGATATTCGAATGTTGTTAACCCCAGGATAAAGAGAAGAAGCCACGGATGCTCACTACATGTAGACTAGGCCGCGTGTTCGTGCGACTGTCCGGTCCTTCACGACATTTACCTACCTCAATAGATCTTCTACAAACTCACCACCAAAGCCCCATCGCAAGAGGATATACGGAAAACATAGGACCAACTCTAAGATCAACGCACGCGGAGCAGACGTCACAAACAATTTCAAATTCAACATACATAGGAACAACACCTGCCAAGGCGACCAAAAACAAAAACAAAAGAAAGAGCAATGAATGAGCAAAGACATTCCGACGCAATTGCGCAACCTCATACCCAATCCTCCACTTCAAGACGAAAAAAAAGAAAGAAAAAACGAAAGTACCACTCATATCCTCTTCTCCTCCGTAAAACGACGTGCTACTCCTTCATAAACGGGCTTCGATTCCCAATACTGTCTGACTACTCGGCAACGGCAACGTCCATGTTCCTACCCTTGGCGCCGTCTCTACTATTCTCCGCAGCCCGAGCGCGGGCTCTGACCCTGCTGCCGGGCGGTGCTGCCTTTCTGACTTCGATGATCTCTCCGTGGAAACTCCTGCGGTGCGGAATGACGTTGTCGTGGCGGGCGAAGACGCTGCTGCAGCCCAGGAACGGACAATGATGCAAGGTCTTATCATGGATATTATTATAGTGACGGTTGAAGTCACTCTTACGTGGGAAGACTTTGCCACACGTGGTGCATGATATGGTGAGCTTTCTGCCGCTCCAAATACATTCGTGGGGACCGCTGAGGGGGAACATTAGATGTTTATCTCGATAGTAATAGGAAGGTCTGTAAGGACATACTCAAAGTTTCCGGCACAGCGACCTGGAGGCGGGTGACAGCGGTTGGGTTCTTCGGCTGGATAGGCAGCTGCAGGGAGAGCCGCGGGCGCGTCCTGAGCTAGGACTGCTGCGGGAACCGCGATAGGAGGCCGAGGTGCGGATAGGATAGGGGATAAGGGAAGGGGGAATTCTTGGCCATATGCATGCGCACGGGCAACTTCCTCGGTAGCTTGTTGAATGAGATGATCTTCCGGTGGCAAGAGTACGTATTCATACGTAGAGATGTACACATAATTTAAAGGCAACCGCGTGTACATGTGGGTACTGTGCATATGTACATTAGCGAAAAAAAAAAAAAGAAGCAATCACCTTGCATCATGCAGGTGATCATTAACACTCCAATCATCCGGTTGCTGAGACATGGCTGCTAGGGTTTGCTCAATATTGCGTATCTGATAGGTTAGATGCTTTTCAGTTTATTAGTAGAAGAATCTAGGGCAGCAAAATGTCGAAAAAGCTCTCGAAATGTGGATGGGGGGCGGCTTTGAATATATACTCCTCCCCAGTATACACCAAGACCTAAGCAGTACCTACTACGGAGTATGTAAATACATTCATGATGTGAGCCTATAATTAAGTACGTAGTAGGCAAATGTAGTGTCTACTCTGCATGTAGACCTACAGGCTATCTGTACATGTAGTGAGAACATCCACAGCAGCTAGTAACTTTTAGTTGAGAGCATATATTTACTACATGTATTTACCTTCAAGCTTACTTTTACCTTCTCCCCATAAATCTCTACTAAAAGACATCTTACGCCAATGATTGTTGAATAAGTGAAGCAGTTCACAACGTTACAAAGTTAAGTGAAAACAGTGTTAATTGCATATATTATTTACATGTAGTTATCCCTGTTGGACTAACGACATAACAGAACTGGTCTAAGAATCTATGAGTGCTGTTTCCCTATAGAAACATATGTGAATAAATGCCCAAGTGCGGGTATTCAAGAGACTCGGTCAATACGTACGGAGCTCACGATATATCGATATTGATATTGTTTGGGCCAGGCGTTGTTGTTGTTACTTGTTCTACATACGTACTAGTGCCATGCCAAGACATATAAATCGCTTATGATTGGCTAGCCCGTGTCGTAGGCTCGACCTTTGAAGACATTATCTTGGTACTATAGGCTCGACCTTTGTGATCTATTATTATGTACTGGTACATGTGTACCTGCATGTAGAGTACGTGTCATGCAAAACCAGACTAGCCTACTCTAATGACAAGGCTGCAAATTTAAACCTCGAGCCTACCTAGAGGACCTACCAAACGAAGGTATATATGTGTTTCCGGAGGGAGGCCACGGTGGTAGAAGCGACTTAACTATCGTCGATGGGTTGAGTTTGGCATGCATGCAGCGTTTTTGCGTACTCACCTGGCGCCCATTGCGCCCGCCTATCAACAGATTGTTTTCTGGGGGCGATTCTTTCACCAGCGCACCCGGAGCTTTATTGGAAATGAGATACGGTGTTAGCTGACAGGGAGTTTAAGCCAGAGAAAGAGCTTGAGTGTTTTGCTTTTCTCTTTTTGTTGAATCCGGCAACACCCAGTGTCCGTCGACATCCATGGATCCAGTGTCCGTCGATACCGGCCAGTGAACGACTGTACCCAACTCTCTCTACGACAGGAATACTTTACAAAATATGGATCAAGTAATGCCTGGCTTTCTGGCACGTGCTTTTCACTACGATAGCTATCTCCGATATACGCTTCTGGTACCTTTCATTTAGACGACCTTCCACCGTATCACAGAAAACTTTCAAATCTTGAAGTTTGATAAATGTGTTGATTCTTGGTAAGCAGAAAACTACCAAGACCCAATGAAACGATAGCGTAGCTGATCACGATAAAGCATGAGGTAGTACATACATCGATATGACCACATACCGAGATTCAACTCACGACAGCTATAGTTTTTATATTCCACCTTCAACGGCACAAATCTAAAAAAGTCGTCGATAAAGCGTAAATTCCAGAGTCCAGAATAATAAGATAACTACGTCTAGACCTTTTTGGACACCGTTCCCATAGTGAGAAAGTGACCCACTCCACCCCAAAACGTACGGAGATGAGACCTCGTCTGCTGTGTGTAAACTTGAAAAAGGATTTCAAAGTAGTTGAGTATGAGCTAATGCCAGTCTTAAGCTGCCCAAATCTCGAGAGTTCTTAATTTTCCGTTTCCCTAGATAGACCTGGTGATGGACCTTTCCAAAAAGAACCCAGGACTTGTCGTTGTGCGGGTGAGCATTAGCTCTACCATCGGTCTTGTGGCTGGGTATTTTTTTCCCGCCTTTCCCCATGAAAATGGCCTTTTAATTTCAAGATCTCGTGAATATTGGCGTGTGCGTTGTAGGTAGGTAGAGGGTTCCGCGATTCGTCATCCAGACCACGGGAAAGAAGTAGACCTAGAAACGTTTCCGTCTAGCTAGTGTAGAGTCGGGTACTTGAAAATGTGTCGTCAACCAACGATTATACGTATACCACCACTCCACCACATGCACATTCAACGTCAAATCTTCAACCCTCCATTTTCAACCCACCAAGACCGTCACATCTCAACATCTACACCTCACATCTATATTAAGCCCTCCTTGATATCTCTTCCAGCACTGCTTACCCCCGAATCCCTAAATTCCTAATCACCAAACTACCACCACCACCACTACCACCACCACCAAAGACAACAGAAATGCCATCTGCAACCTCAATGAAGACCAGATACACAACCTGGATCAACGGTGACACTGCAGGCGCACGCTGGATGAGAGTTCCCGAGAGGTGGGCAGTACTTGGGTACCGCCGCGTCCGGAGGGCAATGCCGAGGCTGCTGGGGCCATGACTTGCAGTGGGAGGGTTTGCGGAGGTGATACTGTGGCTTGTGATTAGAGATGTGCTGGTCAGGGCTGCAGTGATGCTAGTGATGGTGTTGGTGCTGATCGCTTTGCTGCGCGCGTGGGGACAGGTGGCCGGGGTATAGAGCGCTTTATGGGGGTTGAAAGGATAACGACTTCTTTTTTCAAGTGGTAGAAAAGAAAGATGGTGGTGGTATGGGGGTGCTAGAGTTTGCACTGGGTTTACACGGCTTGTCGGTTTGGCTTTTGTGCTGCATGGAGATTGGTAAAGCGAGTGATTTGGTGTGATTTCGCTTTTTGTTTGTGTATCCAGAATACACCGACTGCTTTCTTGCACCCGAATTGGGTTTGCACGGCTTGTTGATTCGGATTTCGTGATTGGTGAAGCGAGTGATTCTCCGTGATTTGGGCGTTTTCTTGTGCAATCAGAAGATCTTTTTTGCTGTACACGAACGTGCCATTATATTCTTCTAAATCTTGAATCACTATCCTCGGGTGGTTCATACTATTGACCCTTTATACGATTAGTTACAAGCTGGAACAGAATCGTGAAAGTGCTATATATAGCTAGATACTCCCTGGAAGAGGCTAGAGTTTCGAAGAAAAAAAAAAAGAAAACGCTACTATATATATCTCACTAATATCGTTCTTGCAAGATATTCTTCAACACACAAACATAAACGAACACATCTTCCTCTCGCTTCCCCTCCCCTCCCCAAACTCAAACCTCTCTTCACCTTCCTCTCCACCAAAAACCAACAACCAACGTAACCAAAAATCAAAAATCAATTCCCACAGACGCCCTCTTATATAATGTGCTACTACCGCCTCGTCCAATTCTCCTGCCGCTGCCTTTGGGGTGCCGAGTACGTCGTCCTCTGCGCAAAGCCAATCGAGGAGGAGGTCACCGCGCGCGGCTACACCGCCTGCCAGCTGCGGGGGATATACCCCGACATGCAGCGCATGTGGTTCAGGTGCTGGTACTGCCTGACGAAAAGCTACGAGCATGAGGGGAAGGAGACGCCCATGAGCTTTTCGAGCTGGGAAGAGACGATCGCGTATCTGCTACTGTGCGAGACGGGGATGGCGTGGTCGTATCGGATGCATGTGGTGAACAGGTGGTGGAAGGTGAGGCATGTGAGGAGTGAGAGGATGGGGGTGTCGGTGGAGGAGGCGGAGGAGGTGAAGAGACGGACGGGGTATAGGGAGCTTGTGAAGATCAAGTGGTAGTGGAGGGTCTGGGTTGGATAGGTGGGACTGCGCGGGGGGATGTGGTTCTAGCTGAGGCAGTGAAGTGTGGGGGAATGCTTTTCTGTATTTGAGGGTTGTATTTGTCTGGCTGACTTTGAGAGTAACTAGTTAAGGATTGCTCCAAGTTACAGAGTCGTGCACTGGTCAGAGGATTGTTTGCACCTGGCACGTAGTATAATTAATCAATTATACCACTCGTACTATATTGCCAAAGTAGCGTATATATACTACGAGCCCAGCCCAGAAATATGGACTCAATACCACCCACATAATAACTGTAGCAACGTCGGCTCCTAGGTAGAGACTCGTTCGCAAACCTTTTTTATTTCATTTTCTTTTTTCAATGAGTATTTGAGGAGACCAAAAACTTATGGCCCGATAAGGGAACAAGAAACACTGCATTCTCGGGATAGCACTGCATATTACATGCCGTCGTACTTTGCGAGTTCGATTTTATGCCCCAATCAGCAGGCATAAGGTGTACAGTATGTTACCTGAGGTAAACATGGACTCGTGGAGTGGTGGTATATGCGTAGTTCAGTAGAGAGTGGTTCAGTCTTCTCCTCCAATAAGACAGCTTGTAGTTCAAACCCTGAGCGGCACTAAAAGGTCAAGCTTTTAAGCGATAGTTGTGCTGCCCAATAAGACTGGTAGCCGGGATCCGTACATGCATGTATGGGTACAGGGTGGTGGGATACAATAATAATTCAGGTCCGTGTAGTATAATGACGTTCACTGTATCAGGTTCGGGGTTATTGTTGTATTCTCTTTCTTCATTTTTTAGTAATGGATGGCTAACGATGTTTATTATGTGATTTCAAAAGATCATACCTTCTACATAGACGCTGTGCTCGATTGATAGCGCCTGCAGACCAAGAAAAATCTAACACACACGATAAATATGCTGCCTACCTCTTCTTATTGTATTTTTCGAATATCGCACATTTTATAGTAGTCATTCCCCCCAGAAGCCCTACCTCTAATATCGTATTATCTGGTTGAAATAAGTGAGCCAATATATTGCGGATTTTTTGAATTTGTTGCTCGAATACCATCGCAGAGTGGAAATGGTTCTGCTGAATATAAACTTTTTAGAAAAGTCTCATTCCAGGAACATTTTGCCGGCCCAAAGAACATTCTCCTTGAGGTCTTTTTTTTTTTTCATGATATGTCACCAAAGTCGACTTTCGTTCTCCATTCTGCTTTTGATATATCGAATTGAAATAAACCTGTGGTGTGAGATTTGCTCGATTGGTGGGGTGATTTGTGCTTAAATAAGAACATCCACAAGACCGTAGCCTTACTAGACTCAAAGGAGGGTCGAAGATGGATATAAATAATGGTGACCCCCCAAGCCCCAAAGTATTCCTTCTTCCCTGATCCAATATATCCACGAATCCAGGCCCATAGCCCATAAGAGAGCCTGATTGGCACACGATCCAAAATGCATGAAAGCCGACATCTCCCACAGCCGAAACGAGCAAAATCCATAAGTAAAAAATGGCAACACAAGACCAGGCAGCCAACCCCCCCAAAGAAACACAGTTTTATTATTAAAATTACCAGTTAACAGCTCTTTATTCTCCTCCATATGCTCTCTCTAGTTTTCGATGCCGATATATCCACCACCATGGGAAGCTCTCGGTCGTAATTATGCTCACCCCCTTCTCTATAGCAGAGAACCAACCAACTGATTACTTCATTGACGCAACCATCGCACCTTTATCGGCGTCTGGTAGCCTAGGGCATCGGGGCCTCATGAACAGCGGCAGCGCAGACCAGTAAGGGGCTGGCTTCCCGGGCATTGGTCTTGGGCCGAGAAGCTTTCTTCTGGGTGGTCGTATGAGGGCGGTCATTTCTGTGGTCCCGTTTTGTTGAACGGTTGGCTGGAGGTTTGAAGATCGATGTGGAGCCTTGAGATGTAGGCTTGAGTCGAGAGGTTTGGGTCTGTGGTTGTCAATGACAGACGGACGTTGTAAGGCCTTTGTAGTATACGTTGTGTCTGGTGGTATTGACAGGATGAGGCCGATGGCGGCCGTGATGGTGTTAATGAGAGGAGGTAAAGAGGGGGAGACAGGAAATAGGGAGGGGATAAGGTTCAATGGTTGTCTGGGGGTTAGGAGAGGTTGGAGTGGGTATGGCGGGATGAGGAATGTAAACAAAAACGGAAAGGAATGAACGTGTACTCTGGAAGAATAGTATGGAATGTGTGTATTTTTCAATGTCAAAAAAGCGAAACACCTACGGTTTGTTTCCAGTCCAATTTGAGGTACATGGCCTGATTGATCAAATTCTCTCGATTAGCTAAAATATCTGATTGTCCGACTAGATACATGTACTTTTGTATCCAGCTATAGCTACATGTAAGCATGGCCCATCGTCTCGTGCCCGTGTTTAACGTTTTTGTGTCTCCACGAAGTGCGACAACAAAACAGTCCGGGAACGAGACTACATGGCCCAGTATATATCTTGAACAGACTTAAAGCAGCACCTGAGGATTTGAGGTACCCGCACGCTCCAATTCGAACCCCTGACTGACTCTTAACAAAAGCTTAGCTTTCAGCCAAGTCCATACCAGACACGAGCGTGTCACGGTTTTCTGCCTTGGGATGGATCCTTTGAGATTCCAAGTCAGTCAGGGGTTTAGACCCTACAAGATCAGTAAATCACCCCAGATGAATCTTACCTAGCTGTCACTTTGCTACGCGAGGTTGTCTTGGAGGATTCGCACTTACTCTACGACGGGCATGCGGTCGCCGTCGTCACTGTCGAGGCACTTGACCCGAACAGATCCGGACTACAATCAGTTTACCACGGGAGAAGATCGGGTAAGACAAGCTGCGGTGCACGTCTTGTATCGCACTAGTGTCCCCGTCTCAGAACTGTTGTCACTTGAGACAGTGCGAGAGGCCAAGGCTTAGAAAAGGTCCTGTGCTGATGGAAGCAAAGCCCAGGAATATTCTCTTGCAGCACGCGCAGTATATGAGTAACCACCAGCTACTGAGCGCACGCCAAGGTCCAGCCTCCCAGCCTGAGTAAATCATTTCGAAGGAGGGATTTGTTTGAATGTTTAGTCGGATTCAGTCTCTTGCATCATCTTTTGTGATGCATACGGCAACAGCCGCTGTGGTACCATGATGAATGATTTGCAAGTGTTTGTGTAAATTTTTAACTCAGCTTTTTATCTTGTAAATATGTATGCCGAGAAACCAAATTAGCAGAAAGGAGAAAAAAAAAGATGATAGGGAATACGAAAAAGAGAAAACGTAGGAAAAAAGGCACAATAATTAAGAAACCCTCCCAAGAGACTCCTAGGACGCTAATTCGGCGATACTCATTACTTTTCTTGCAGGTGGTGACTCCCGCGATTCTTGTGAATCATTCGCTAAAGAATGAATATTAGCCTCAAGTTCAAGTTTCGTTATCATTCAAAAATATTGAGCGGGATTATATACTATGAGGAGGCGCTGCCATTATCTTTTGAGGTGATTTTGGTGTATCTGCGGAATAAGATTAGTTGATTGCTATGTCGACCTTGAGTGACTGTAACCAAACTTACATGTTTGTTTGCCTTTCCCTGCCCAGTTAAGATTCCCACGACTAGCCGCGAGCCAGTAATCATATATCCACTTAGAAAACACCCAGTGATCCACAAAGTCGCTGGGGTTCAACTGCATAGATAGTGTAGGGTCACTTCTAATATCCGTAATCATCGCTTCAATCAGCGTAGCCCCGCACCTGATCCTAAACTCTGTCCATCTTCTATCTCGAGTTTCTCCCTTATCAAGCGGATCACAGGACTTGACAGCCGCAGTCCATTCCTGATGGAATCGGGATGAAGGATTATTAAAAACTATCTATCTGGAGGTAAGATTCTAATTCTGGTAAAGGGAGCGAGGGTTGGCATTTGATAACAAATAAGTACTTACTTTGGCCAAATCGGCAACATCGGCGCCGACACAAGTTTCAATGTATTTAGCGGTGATTTTACTCGCTGCTATTTTACTACCACGCTCGCCCTTTGGCCACTCGTAAACAACACGATCAGACATTTTCATGATAGAGCCCGGGAATACCGGGATATACTTAGCATCGAGCTGGTCGAGGCGGCGGTACTTATATCAAGAAAAGCAGGCTGTATTATGTAACATCATGACTGAGCTCTGCCATCTAACGTCTCCTAAAAATAGCATCCAATCAATTCCTCGATTCTAAAATGGACTACATGGAGGTATTCAAGCTAGGTAGCCGAATTTACATGTAAACAATATGACACTAGCAGTATTTCGAATCAGTATTCAGCGTACTTACCGGCTTCTCATGATCACTAGGCTTCTGCATCTAGCTGAAGTGGCTGGCTGTTGGCTTTTATGCTGCTTATAGCTTAGATAATAAGAATTGGGGAACCAGAGTACCAGTACTTGTCTTTGTGAAGGTAACGAATGATTCAAGATGTGGTGTGCAATTCATCTCTTATCAGGATCCGAAGTCGTCTTATGTTATTACCCTCGTGGACCTTCCCTACGAGGAACATGTATCCGACCTTAGTTCTTTCGAGCAACCCATTCCTCCGCGACTAGGTTGATCTTCAGCTATCTCCAGAACTTTAAACAGGTATGTGCTCTTACTTTTGATTTAATCATGCTCTATTGCACATAGACCTCGATGTGGACGTTATGGATAAAACGTTCCGGAGTTACTCTAGCGATGTCAATCCTTGCAGACAATCATCTACTCTACATATACATACTCGTATTTTCCTATACCATACAAAAACACGCCAAGCTCATGATTTTGGATGTATGCAATAATGGCCCAGTTCAAAAACTTCAGGAAGAGACTACTCGTAGTTTTTTGACATTTCCGGACGCGACCACTATTGCATGCCATACAAAAGATAGCCTTGGCGGGTTTTTTCTGTGTATGCAATAGCAGTTGCGTCCGGAAACGCTGTGAAATTGCGAGTATGTAGTGTTGTCGCTTAGGCCTTGTCTTGAAGGGGATCAGACCAAAACAAATATGGCTCAATTCACCATATGGGGTGAGTGTGTCAACTTGAATTCTCATTGGCAGAAACCGACTTTTAGCTCGAAAGAAGCGTGGTTTAGGGTTTTGACTTGAGGCTCCCTCCAAAATTTAATGCCACTCAAGTTGGCACACCCATCCCCTACATATGGTGAATTGAGCCATATAACTGATTACTTGCATCAGTTCTTGCATATGATTCGCACAGGATACGGCATGTGCTGCTGGTTGAGAACGCTGAGCTGGCTGATAACTAAATAATGTATCTACATATGTGCATGTACTCTACTCTACCTACACTGAGTCCCTAGAGTGGTATTTAGAGTACCTGCTACATGTAGCTGTACAGTACCTATTTAAATACCTCAAAATGAGCACCAATGGTCAGCCAGGGCCTAATATTTGCATTGCGTAAACCTCGTATCACACTGCAAGCTGCGAGGGTTAGGTATCTTTATGCAGCCACCCCGGTCATTTTCCCTCAATTGTGTCTAAATTCTCTATTGCGCTTAGACAAATAAACAAAGTACATGTACTACTTGACCTTACAGAAAAGGTCTATAAATAACGATACTCATATCATGACAGTCCCTTTTATCACCGTGCGAGAGCCTTATTATATCTTCCCCAAACTGGCAATCATAATCGTTCCTTTAAATCGGTAAACGTGCTTCGATTATTGGCCCTCTGAAATCCGGTGAGTATACCGAGCGGTATTTCTTGCATCGCTCGGTCATTCATGGTTAATCACTCGGCGCCTCAATAAATTTAAACACTGTATTGTTTTCAATTAATAGAGCTTCCTGGCGTGGCACCGTGGGAAGCTTGGCGGTGGTAGGCAGACATCTTTCCCCACTTTCCTGGACAATCCTTGTGGACGCCTTCATTTAGTCAATTCCATATACATACGCTGGAGTGATATATGATACACGCAGATAGCTCCTTTGGGCATTGACCGCACAACAGTGGCCAACCATCTGCATGTATTCCGTGCTGCTCGTGATGATCTGCGTACACATCCGCTGCCATTCGCATCCTCGGCATACCCTCAGACCACAAGATGTCCCCTGCTCACGAACATCACGAGGTGCGCCTAGACTTCGAGTGTCAGCTGCAGTAAAGTACTCTAGCTACATGTATGTAGTAAAGTAGATACTTCACATGTAATCAAGGCTGCAAATGTCAACCTTAGATGGTCCATGAAGAAAACCGCGACCGGACAGGTACATACCTCTTGTTATCGGGCAAGTGAGTTGTGTTCTCAATACTCTAGTCCGCGATCAAAGCTGTCGGAGATAAAGCTAGCTGCACAGACTATAGTACAGTCCGGAGTCAGGCGAAGCTACATGATGTATGTATGTATGTAGTTTGTTCATGTTGACACGTTGTGTTGAGGCCTTTGGGGCCATGGGCCAATTGGCCATGCAAGGCGCAAGATCTGATCATGCCAAGAGCGCCACCAGTCGAGTAACATCTCGTGGGGCACATACATATGTACATAATTAATTAAGCCCTATCTAGAATATCTTTCCTGAAGCCTCACATGCACCGCTTATAATCGGTACTTGTGCCAACTGAAGCTGCTGATAGCGTGGACAGCGCAAGATCTCCATATGCGGTTGTTCCCGCTGCGTGTGTGATTATCGAGCTCGAGATCTCTGACAATTATGATAAATTTTTGTATGAAGTTAGGATTACTTAATGATACATTGTTTCGTCGGATTAATATTAGAGTTGCGCTTCTATGATATCGAATTATCGAAATAGGCCGCTGAGCCGCGGTTAGCAAGAAGTAGACCTATCAGCTCTATTCTTCACTTAAACGTATACGCGTATCTGATTAATCCCATGATACATGATTGGCTCTTGTCATTCGATCTCCACGGCCAATCCACAGAGCTAGTGCAACATCAACCAAACATCTGGTATCCAGGCAGCCGCAAGAGCTAGTTTCATGATTTGCGTAGCCTGTCTGCACATCGTCCAACATGGACATGACATACTCCAGCTAGCACACTCTTGTTAGATACCTTCAACATTTTAGGGCGAACATATTAGCTGGTCTAGAGCGTTTGAGCTCACTTGTTTCCTTTATTAAAGAATATTTAAGTGAATATATGATAGAACTAGTTACTAAGTAGGTTATGATCAGACATAAGATCAACAGGATATATACGGGTTTCAAACCCTAGTTTCATTAGGAGCTGCATATATTCTTTTCCAAATTTTTCTTTTAACAAAAAGGTTGTTCGACTGAGCTTAAACGCTCTATATGTTGTGGAGCCATTTTAGCGACAGTTTCGACCCTATTGGCCGGGAGCTGCAATGGCCAGAGGGTCGATGGCGTCTTTCTCATCGAATTTAATTACGCAATCCCGTCGATAGCCCTCCGCCCATGCCTGGTCCTCGGAACATGACTCTGATGACTTTCGGCCTTACGTCTCTGCAAATACGTACACCCTGATGGGTACATGTATGTAGCAAAGAGTTCTTATTGGCAAAGCCAAAAGCCGTACAGCGCTGCAGCGAGAGGTAGAATTATTGTAGAAACAGGGGTCTAAAAACAGGGCTTAAGTGGCTGACTCGGCCAATATTAGGACCCTTCCCATACTTCTACAATAATTTTACCACACGCTGTACGTACTATCTGGCTATGCATGTAGACGTTTGAAACGCTTGAGACGCTTTTTCTCTAATATTTCATTTCTCGAAGTTGCACCTACCCATTTAAACATTTTGGGTTACAAAAGTTGACGTGGGGTATATAATGCATAAGAAAACAGCTGCACAGTGTTTCTGATTAACCCTGAAACTTATTAATTGATTAATCGATGGTTTAGGCAAACCTCAGACTTAGCGGTCGGGACTAGGGACACAAATGTAGCCTCGACTAGCAGGCTTTATAATGGGCTGGACCGGTCCATATTTGACCTTGGCCCGGACCGACTGGCCCATATAGCATGAGGACCGGTCACAGACATATAAATATATGGGCCCCCCAATGATATTTATTGAAGTCGAAAGAGGAAAAAAGGTATTATAAACCAGTCGTATTGAGTGTTTACCTCATAATGAGTGGAGAAATCTAGTCATAAACTAGCTCATATATTAGTCTCCTTGACCGGTCCAAAAAGCCATCCGGACCGGCCCAGCCCAGCAGAGAAAACTCCAAGCCCGGCCCACCGCCCGTATATTTGGACCGGTCCGGCCCGTATATGTGGCCGCCCATTAAAAAGCCTGTCGACTAGGACCCAAAAGTTGTCTCCACAAAATATTGTAAGAGAGATTCAAAAAACTGCAATTTAGTAAATAGGTTATGAAGACATGTATGATTTTCTGGTGTAGTTTAGAAGCCACGCAGTGTAATCAAGAGCCAATCACAAGCGGGCTGGGCACGAGACATGGGAGTTTAGGTCTCCTTTAGTATATAATCGCAACGACATCTCTCACGGTTTCGTTGATATGATCCCTTCTCGGGCTTATACTAAAGCGTGTAGCTATCATGATATATAATCAGCTCGGTGTCATATTCCAATAAGTTCCACATCCATTGCTTGGTGATTGGTATCGATCACCCGGAGTCATAGGATATCACTCGCATATTAAACCAAATCTGGTGCTACACTGATTGATTGGTTTATCGATTGATTCATTAATCTGGTGCTGGATTTAGGGTACCCGTGTTGTAAGGGGTTATATTTTGTTTATTCGTCGGTCAAGGCAGCTATATGTCGAAGCTTAGCGGAGCATAGCTTCGTCCACGTACACATACACGTCAAAGATACATATGTACACATATCATGTACCACCCACTTCACTTCGTCCCCTATCAGTGTTCACGAAATGGCAACTTAGATTTCTAATAAAAAGCACTTTCATGTGTTAAATGAATGACAGACGTGGTGATATCGACGGAGACTTATATGAATTAAGCTGAGAGGAAATTTTAGGAATTATGAGAAACATAGTGAGCATAAGTGAGTTGACAAATTGAGCTGATAAAGGTGATAATCCCACAATGTATATTTAATCAAAGCTAATTCTATCTGGCGAAGCAAATATTTGACGATAACTGAGAAAATAGATATCTAACGATATCTGATGAGTTGCAAATCTGACGAAATCGACAGTTAATGCGAGGAGCAGATATCTAATGATATCCGATGCAATCAACGATACCCCCATGGAACCTCAGGAAAAACGAAGCAAGAATAACAAGCCTCAAACCATCATCTTCAATACCTTCGACCAAACCTTTCCCTTCGAAGGACTATCCTTCGGGATGATAACCTCCGAGACCACCCTTCTCTCATCCTTCACCACCAGCCCGATAGGCGCCGAAATCATACTCTTAGAAATCGCCTTCTTCCTCGCCTTCATCCCTTCTTGCTTTTCCTTCCAGACTGAATCCATATCCCCCGGTCTCATACTCTTCATTCCATCATGAAAGTACGGGTTCCTATTCATACGGTCCTCATCATCACGGGTATTCTTGGTTGCGTAGGTTACCATGTCACCCCCTGGTGTAGAGCGCTTAATGTGCTCGGTCTGAAGATTGAAGCCTGGGTGTGTCGTACCAGCGAAACCATCGGCGAGGTGGTTGAGGTTTTTGCTGTAAGGGTACTGGGGGTAGCTGCCGAGAGTCTCTGAAGAAGGAAAGGGCTGTGATATTCCCCGGATAAAGGGAGCCGTGGTTGAGAACTCTATGTCGTGGAATGTAGTAAAGGAAGCCGTAAAGAGACTTACGGGTGGGGTGGTAGACGAGCTTCCGATTTCGGTGGATCTAGAGTCGGCATTCATGGATGGTGCAACGGTAGGTGTGTTCTGATGGGGAAACCTGATGGTTGACTGAGCAGTAATTGGAATTAGACGAGGAAGTTTGGTCTTTAGTTGAGCAGACGCAGGCTCAATTTTTGCTAACTCAAGAGCTTGTGCAGTCCCGAGGTATGTGCCATGATTTGTCGTGGTTGTATCCGCAAACGGTCCAATGATTCCAAATGGCATTGCTGTGGTTTGTGACGTAGCGGGAAGTCTGTTTTTTGTGCCACCAATATTAACAGTTGACTGGTATTCCCCCACGGGCTTCTGAGCAGACTTGTTGACGTTCAAAGGAGGGGGTATCGTCTTTAATCTTTCGTACATGGCACTTTGTTTGCCAGATACAGGGCTCGGCAAATATCCCAGATCCATTTCCGTTCCAGGTTTTGAGGGTTCAAGCTTCGGCTTCGGCCTTTTTTGACGAGCAGCAGTGTCAGCTTTCGATTCTTTGGCAACTCTTTCAGTTACTCTCTTCTCAGTACGGGCACGTCTCGGAGGGTACCGCTCCGCCTTTTGCATTGAAGTGATTCTTTTTATTTCAGGCGGGATGTCATTTTCATCATAGAGTGAATATAGAGAACTACACGACACTTGTCGGTGGCGTGCTAATGACTCTTTCTCGGCACCATCTGTGCACGCAGATTTCTTATGGTATGCCTGGCCTGGCATGATAACTATCGATTGTGGCGATGTGTGGTGATGTTAATCGTGGTGATAGAGGTGCGGTAATCAGAGATCGTGTATTGATATTTGGTATGCTGGGATAGATAGATGATCAATTAGATTCGAGAAGTCATGATTTGTTTTGTTCAACCTGAGATATGCAATTGGGTATTCTTGAAACTGTCTACTAACAATGTTTATTTGTTTCGGAAGAACCCCGTACTGATGAAACTTGAAATGTTTGGTTGAATATGATTTAATTTGATATATAGCGGAACGGCACCACTCGTGACCTTGAAAGATGGGGAGGGTGCGGTGAGAGAACGCTGGAAGATGAAAAGAGAGGACTAGCAGTGTAGACTAACCTATTATCTGCTTTGACGGAATTTTATCCCCTGTGAATTTTACGCTGACATCTCGTTTCTCCACCTTACTTGAGCCGCCTTGTACTGAGAAATTGACCAACTTGAGCTGGCCGCTCCTGATTTTTGGGAACCTTTTGACTTTAGGCTAGGTAACTTCTGGAAATATTTGATCTTACGCTAGGGTATGGTGAGTATCGTTTTGAGAGATGAATAGAAATATCCCCTGCAATTTAGATCAACATAGGCACTTAGCATTTGATATCTATTGAACTTGCCTATTTTATCCCTGTTCAAAATACAGTCAACTACACTCAAGTTATCTATTCATGTTGAAATATACTAGCTCTAGTTTCCCTAAAATCCTCAAACTAGATGTACACTACATGTAGTACTTCAGCGTCAGCCTTAACCCATGATAAGAGTCAGTAGAAACTTCAAACCTCTTTACAACCTCGCCTCAACATCAAGATCCATCATAAACCATCAAAAAAATCCTTTCTTTAGAATAAACCATTCTTTACTCATATTCGAGATGATCGACAGGGCTCGGGCTCCGAACTGTTCTACCCCGCCGTCAACTCCTGAGCCGGCAAGCATTACAGATTCCTACTCAGTCAGCAGAAACAGACACCGGCCTCAAACTACAAAGAATCTTAAAGCTGTTGTGCAACACAATAACACTACAGCCTATTATCAGCCTTCTTACGGTCGAAATAGACCGCAAAGAACTATCCCTCCTCCGGGGTGCACTGCTCGTTTAGAACCCAATGCCCACCATGTCAATCCAACCCCAAATCCATCAGGAAACCGAAACATTAAAAAGGCTCAAACTGAAACGCAAAACACTATCACTACGGCCTATTACCAGCCTTCTTACGGCCGTAATAGGCCAGAAAGAACAATCCCTCCACCAGTATATACCAATACCGTTGGCCCGACGTCCACCAGACAGCTACAAAAGCCAAAGCTTGCTATATCAAACGCTTCAAACACCATCACTGCTGGTGCCGATATGAGGCCACAAGTTAGAAATGCATATTATCAGCCCTCCTACGGCCGCAATAGGCCAGAAAGAACTATAATGCCGCTCACACAGGGGAATAACACCGGCAACATCGGTCCATTTTCCAGTGCGCTTCATACAGGGACGCGGCCGCCATCCAGAGATGGTCCATTATCCATACATAGTTCATCATCCAAAGATTTATCGCCGCCGGTTGAGTTTGGCCTATCGCCATATTCCACAGATGGTCCAATGCATTCAAGGGACGTCGCACCACTATCAGAAGTTGAGGAATCTCTAGAAAGTCAAATCAGTAGGTCCCTCCCAGTCCTTCAGCGGGGGTGGACTTCATTTCCACTTTCAAGAGAAGTCGATACAAAACGCCGGAGAGAAATCAGAGAGGCCCGTAAAATGGAAAAACTCAGACGAGAGCAATTATTAGCAGAAAATTTGGAATCAGCAGCTAATACCGCGATCCATGTGACTCCAGCTCCAACTTTATCTTTGATTCCCATCTCAGCTCAAGAATCGATTGCCGCTCTGACCCCAACTCCAATGTGGGCTCTAAATCAGACCCCAACTCGAGGCCGAGCTCAGGCCCTGGCTCCTGGCCTGGCTATAACTGCAGATCCGCCAGCAAAGCTGCATGCATATAAACGTGTTTTGGCTGGAGTTGTGGGCAAATTTGAATCGAAAAATACTGCAGAAAATTGATTGGTGAATAGAAATATTGTGCATAGGTCTGGTGGTGGATTGATCATGGTGTTCAGGTATTGGGCGAAGGCTACTGATTCTGGTTAGTTGTTAAGTGCTAAGCTGTTATGTTTGGATTTAGTGGTGGATTACGGGTGTATGGATTGATTCATGAAGTATGTGTGGTGAGAACAGTATTGATATGTGGCTGTTGCGGTAATTGGTGGAGAGTTTATGACATCATTTATAGTTTCCGTATAGATATCCACAACTAGGTACGCAGAGTATTAATAAACAGATCTTCCATATTCTTAAATCACGACCTGTCATTTATTAAGTTTCGAATTGTGCATCTTGAAATAACTACATCGAGCGCCCTAGTAGACCGCATTCGAATCTCAGCTACCTATTAAGAATATTGATGGAAGAAAAAGGCTTTATCTTTCCAGAGCTTGGAACTGGTGGTACGTGGGCATCGATTCTTAACGTCCCATATATCATACAGCTATTAAACCCTTTGAATTCAAGACTTTTACACCCCAGGGCTCCAATTTCAGGAGCCGTGGCCGGGTGCTAATACGGAAGGTTTTGCGTGGTTAAACGAACCTGGTATGGACGCGAACCCAGGTTCCCGTGATTCAGGCACACCGAATTCTCAGTATAGCTCTGGTTTTTTCACCTCCCCCCCCCCCCCCCCGGGGGGCCATAAACTAATGATTATATGCTGAACGAAATATATTGCATCAGTTTGGGCAGAGTGGGACGATAAAAAAAATGCCTATATGGTCGACAAAGGGCAGAGCTCATACAAAACTTCAGACGGTACTAGAAATAATTTACCCAGTACGACTTCTAGGCCTAGTGTGACTGTGGTTGGAGATGCCAGAGAGGCAGCTGAAAAGACAGGTTGGTTTGTCTAAAATATATCTTATGTGTGTTATTAATCTTATATGATTAACTGCTGACATGATATGACTTCGCATTATATTAGAGTCAAAGAAGACTGAAGCACCTTATAACTACTTGATGTTTAAAGATGCTGGAGATCTCCAGTCAGTGTTTCTTGAAGGCATAGGTTCTATTGTCTCTGGGCTAGACATAGAGAAAGAGATCGTCAGGCTAAAGCTAGGGGAACTATTTCCTCTGCGTCTGGAAGACAGACCCGGATTTGGTGACAATCTTCCCGCCTTGCCAGTTCCTCCGATAGAGCCCTTGCCAAAAATTACAGTCGACCCGAGGGAACCCACCGAAGATGAGGAGAGAAAAATGTTTAAAGCAGCCACTATGGCCAAGTATATGTATTTGTCAAGGGCTTATGTGTTCGAATATCAGAAGATGTTTCCACTAATGCATCAGCGCAACCTGGAGGACCATGGTGAAAATTATGGCTTGATGGAATGTATGGAGCTGTACAGATATGCAGTCAAGAAGTATGCGGCAAATATACCGGAGTTTCTACCGGGATTAATCAGCCCTGAGTAGATGGGGTAGCGCATACAGACATCGTAATGATATCTGTGGCTGTGGAAATTGGGATCCGCATTGAGCTTCTTGGCTATGGTCGGCTCAAGTACTGATTGATAACTGTACGGCTTCTCTTTTATAGTGACGGAGAAGGGGCCTTTTTCTTAAACAATTGGAGCTTTAGTTGTAATTTAGTTGATCAAGGAAATTAATCAAGATTTTCCGCACGCAACTTAGGTTAATTCAAGATAAATACCTCATGAGTTTGGAAAACGGGTTAATATTTATCTGGTATATACACTCTAGATAACACTCAAAAGGTCATAATCTCGAGATCAGAGGAGGGTCGATACATCATTAAAATTACAATTACAAGGATATTCACTTCAACCAATCAATCAATCCATGTTATCAAAGAGAATGATTCTTGAGACGCATGATCGAGTGATATCATATGATCCACATACAAGAGAAACGTTTCTCTGGATCAACTGATTATGAACATTCCGTTCCGGTCAACCGCTGGTATTTTAGGCTTTCTTACAGGTACTATAATTAATTAAGACCCAGCTGGATCTACAATCTACCGCCATATATACCAGCAGCCTGGATCGGAGGACGAGAGTAACTAATTCAGCTGCTAGTTCCAGTCGACGTCACACATATATATATATGTATATCTCAATGAGATTGGTATATTCGGGCATTTCTGCAACTCCTTACAAGAGGTATAAGCGGAACTTCAGGGTCTAGTATTCTGAAAGCCCCGTTTCTGACATACATGTACAAGGGGCACTAATAAACTCAACCCGCGACCCTTCAAATGGATAGAAGTAAATAGTCGAAACCCTTGGTTGGTTTAGAGCAAGGCTGGATCCTTCTGAAACCTAAAAAATTCTATCTCATTTTATCACCTCTAGTTATGTATGTGAGTAGGTTAAGTTAAGTATCACCCACTTGCGGAGGTAAGCCTCATGCTCAGGCTGTCTTTACCACCCTGTTCCTTGCTGTTTACGTCCACCTTGAAAGTTTAAGTGACATAGATTTTTATCAAATGCATATGGTAAATAATAGATTTCGCGAATCAGCTCAACCTTCATGCAAGTATCCAGATTAAGGTTTCCCCTGGCGGCGTGGGCGATTAATTGAGATTATATTACTTAGTCTCAGTCTTAGATAGTGTGGCCCGCGAGGCATTGATGCTCTATTGCGAGGCTCAAGGCATGGGTTTCACAAGATGCGTATGCTCGAGACAAGCTCCTGCTCGCCTCGAGATGCTCGAGGTTTAGGTAATCATATTAGTATTAGTGACATGTATTCAGTGGGCCCATGGGATTGATATTTCCTGGGGGAACGTTGGGGTATCCCTTAAGTTATGTATACTATGATTCCCAGAGTCCCTAGTTCATGATCAGTCTCATCCTTCGCTTAAATTGCCTATCATTATTACACTTTCAACAGTCAACTCCAACTTTCATAGGTCTAATAAAGTAATGATCTGCCTTAAGCGCAACTCGAGCGCCTCGAGGCATCACCTCTATTCGAGATAACTGTCTTTGTTCGCCTCGAGTAGCCTTGTAGGCCACACTAATTGAGATATTGATAGATCAATCTAGGCGTGTGCCTTTGGCCGCCTCATAATCACATGCTCTGCGCAGCTGCATTAGGATATGAGAACGGCTGATATATCTACCTGGTCTGACTCGTCTTCAAGTTCGAGGCCCTATTGCATTTTTCGTTTGGGCTATAATATGTATCTTCTGGATCTGTGGGTAACGTTGATCCTTGCAGAGCGCTGTCCTGGGTTCGCTCTGGCGTGTATGAGGTTCCAATAATACAAACGTTAGCCCCCAATCTCAATTCAACGAGATACATTTAAATTTGCTATCGAATGGAGGTACATGTACTACCCCTACCTAGTACCCAGAATATCTGTGGTTGGTGATATGGTTGCAATTGGACTGCGCTGGGTAAGGGCAGATAGTAGCATATACCAGAAATGTGTTGTAACTAGTGATACTTGGTATCGTCTCTGTCGAGGCTGGTGTGTATATATATATGGTTGCGCGTGGTTGAATCATGAAGGATCGAAAGCTGGTGCTGAGAGATATAGATTTAGAGTTTGTTTTACGTACAGGCGAGGGATGTGATCTTAGAGGCTACTCTAGTTGAAGAACATACATACGTATATGTGTCCATACATGCAGGTATTGCATAAAATTTAAAACTGATCAATTGTGGCTCTTTCGTATCACCCAGTATCGTTCAATTAAAGCTTAAGCCGCAAGAAAGGGAAAACAACTTTCCATGCGTGAAGATCATCTCAATTGTAAGCGCCTGTGGGAAGATAATCTTTTAAGATCTTAAAGCTAGGTCCAGAGGTCACATCAAAAAAGTCGACTAGAACTCCCGGTGCGAAGAACTACTTATGTATGTATGTTTGTATATATGAAGTATGTACCTCTGTCAATTATAATTAAGTAATTATATGCGTGTAGTTAAACAATTCATCCAATCAATTTAGTCGATCAGTTTGTCAGGCAACTTGATTTTCGGCTATCTAATCGGTGCCCTACAGAAAGAAGTCCTTGAACGAGTTCTTCGATCAAGTGCCTCTAGTATAATAACGTACATGTATGTACTCTACGTATGTAGGTACATACATGTATGATAATTGAATTTGAGGCCAGCTGTGGTCCATTATGGCTTGAGCACGTAGCTACATAGACTCTAGAATATGGAGAACATAGAAAACACTGTCAGACATACAGTCGCAACTCGCTATGCCGGATGGCCAAGATTCAGCCAATTTCGTACGGGATAGCAAATCATCCGGGACAGCAAATAAATCCTCAACAAATAAACCTAACCCTGGATTTGGTCCATTATCACCTCTGAACCATTTTTTTTGCTTCAAAAGCCCAGCTTCTAATGGTATTGAGTGCTAGCAGTACTTGATATCTGATAGAGCTTTTCTCCGCTTCAATTTTGAAGGGGGGAAAGTGTTCAAAACCTCAGAATTCGACCTTCAGTGAATGGGAAAATCTAGCTGTGTATGGACTAGTGAATCCGGGATAGCAAATATTATTTGTATGGGGACAGGGGTCAGAGAGTTGGCCAGTTTCCCATACGATACGAGAAAGCCAAAATCCGGGATAGCAAATTAATTTTGGTGAGGAATGAGAGTATCAGCAAAATCCATCCGGGATAGCAAGGATCCGACATGTTGAGTTCCGGCATATCGAGTTGCGACTGTAATCGTATACGTGTATACTGTATATACATGTATGTACATACAAGCATTTTCCGGCCTTTGGCCGGAGTAGGAACTGTTATGGCTTAAACAATATCAGTTTACCAACGCTTAAGATCACTGAAACCCCAAGATGCCCTGTGCACATATCTGATATACTATATATTTGGTTGACTCAAGGTATGTTGGAACCAATATCTACTGGCTGACTCAAACATATTTGATAGAATATCTACTAACTCCAACATATTTGATAGAATATCTACATGTACTTACTGACAAACATATTTGATAGAGAAAAAGAAAACCCCTCAAACCTGGCCAATCAAAACCTTTAAATAACACATTGCATATCGGTATATCTATATACTTATTAGATATATATGTGTACACTCATAACAGCTATATCCCTTTAACAGATAGAATTCCAGCCCAAGCGAGCGGTTATTGGGACCTTCGGTTATTGGGACCTTCGCTGTATCTAGAAATAAAGTGGAGGTGGGGCCACCCTCTCAAGCTCATGAGGCGGACGGTGATTTGGAGAACCGCCATATGCAATATATAGTGCATTGATGGCTTGAAGGCGCTGGCTATCGAGAACTCCGGTAGGTTCGCTTATTTAAGGTAGCCCCCACCTACTGAGCGCAGATCTAGAGACATTCCATAACACTCACCAATTACAGTGGTTTTTTAAACCATCCCCCAATTCAAAGTTACACTGCGTTTGAACAGTCTGTAAAAATGCGCAGCCGGCCTATATGTGAGATTACGGGATTAATGGATAGACTGATTCCGTTTCTTGCCACCCTCCAGTCCAGAAGGCGATGGTATCTATCAATATATACCGCAAACCCTATACCCTTCTTTTTTGCCCGCATCATTGGAACTCTGCTGGGAAATGCGAAGAGTCTGTACCTTTCGACCCCCTTGCGCACCCATCAAAAAATTTCTATTCAGGTAGACACCTCAAAGGTAAATGAAGCACCTAGACTCCTAAACTAGCATCGTGAACATAGGCTGGGCTCTAATATTGTTATTGTAATAGTGGAAGTCTATTCTTCACATATATATACCGTACAACGCAATATTTTAGCCACAATGGTTCTTGATCTTTCAAACCTTTCCACGAACATAATTTCAGATCTACGCCCCCTGCTCGCCCTTTTTGGGGAACAAGTGGCCAAACAATTCATGTCTGAGTCCACAGGGTTTTCCGACAACATCTTATTTGCCATGGCTCCTCTCGGAATTATAACGGCGTCTGTCGGCGCAATTCGGATTGGAGGACCGAACTGGATGAAGGCAGTCATTGGCCGCGCAAGAGAGAATAGAGCGATTGCTGAGATCGAGTTGATGAGTAGCACGAGTCATGAAGTATATGAGTTGTGGAACGGCCAGCAAATTGTCAGGATTATGGGGGCGCCGCCGATACGAGAACTCGTGTGTATTACACGTGATGGAACAGAGAAGTTATATACCCTTAAAGAAGCGAGGACTGAGGGGGGCGGTGATATTTTGAGGAAAAAAGGTGAGTTTTCAAGATTGGTATATATATATAGATGTACCTACGAATATATGTGCGTATGCTAATGTAGTAAAATTTAGCTGGCGATAAATTTCAGCGTTTCAATGGAAGGATTGGTCGTTGTAAGAGCCTTGATAAATACTGTTAATTATAGGGGTATCACTAACTCCCGTCGTTTAGCCATATCCTCATTTCTGTTACTTCTGGTTGGGCACCGCGAGAAGGCCGCCATTGCTAGCCCCGAAGACGGACAGAAACCCATATCCCCACTGAACTCTCGTAATAAACGATTTGACGAAGCCCCAAATATATCACTGAATGTTAATACCCATGTCTCCCGCTGGGAGCTACGATTTTTTGCTCTCGTAGCAACGGTATTTCAGGCATCAGTTTTAATTTACGCCCATTTCGCTGCCAATAATCAATCATTACGACTGGTATTTGGAAGACTCGGAGAATATGATGAGAGTTCATGGGCTGTACATCTTATAATGATCGGTACCGTTGGGGTAGTGATGGGTATGCTCATCTGTACATTCATCATTGAGCATTCCACCCAGGAGGAGCAATATCATGCTTGTAAACCCAATGATCGTGTTCATGTTATGTGGCTACAAAAATCAGCTGCCGTCTCCGATCAGGCCTTTGACTCTTATGCGATTTTCGGCGAAGAATCACGGCAAGTGGTTACAACCAGTAGGAGGAATCAAAAGTTCAATAGTCCAGGTCATGATATTATGTTCAGTGTATTGACTATATTGGGGGTAGTTGCGGGTCTATTGGGGTTCTTATTCAAATGATTGGCTACCGGGGGATGCATTGGACGGTCTCTATTGCGCAACTTCTGGCAATAATATTTACTACAATAATACGTGCCTGGGTCCGAAGAGGGCTTTCGGCACCCACGCACGCAATTCCATTGCCTCTAGGATACGAGATTGACTGGTTAGCAACAAGGATGGCTCAGGATCTTTCTAAACTTCGAGATCGACAATTGTGGCGAAATCATGATATGGTAGATAATCCACAAGATCCAGGGTTTGAAGGACAGGGTTCCTACTGATGGGACATTATCACGGGGGCAAGCTCATCAGGGTACGAAAAATTGTGTGACACTACGGAAAACAACGAGCATCATTCTGCAACAGATAAAACAGTTTCTTGTGGGGTTGAGATGGTTCCAACTAATAGTTCAATCGACGCCGGGACGCTAACCCCGTCAGACCAAGTTAATCATCCAAACGAACAGTCTCAACCTAGCACGGACAAAACAGTCTCTCAAATAAATGAGAACAACCGTGCTCAGATGGTGATAAATAGACGCAAGGATTTGGGAAGACTGACAAGGTGGTCTGGACCAGCGGCCGACAAAGCGACCTCTGTTGCAAAGGCCATAGAAATCGTTCTGAAAAACACTGTTTTCATCTGAAAAGAGCAAGGTTTGGAAGTGGAAGCTACACACTTTCACGTCTAAAATAGAACCGATAAGTCTTGAGATCAGACATGATGGCAAGCAGTGGAAGGTCGACGTTGCAGACATCGAAGCTGTTTTATCACTCTGGTTATTTGCCGCGGCCGAGAAAGAAAGAGCCGGAACAGTGGCTATGGATAATGAGAGGGACGATGCGTGGCTGCGGAGCGGGGAAGCCTCACGAGGGGATAGCATACGACTGTTGGGCGAGAGCAACGCCGTTAGTCGAAGAGATATGGGATGGTGGGCCGGAAGTGGAAATAACAGGATCATTGAAGTATCTTCCACTTCTGACGAGAAAGAAACAATTGAATTCAGCTCCCATCGTGTTGTGGGATATAGTGGCTACGAGCTGGTGGGAGATGAGAAAGATGAGAAAGATGAGAAAGATAACGCCGCCTTGGATGTGAGACAAGAGAAGTCCTGTAAACGCAAATATCAAATCCATGTGGTCTCAGATGATAACAATAATATGCCCGAAAATGAGGTACTACCTGCAAATCATTGTTATAAATTGATTATAAGATTTAATGGGTTCCCAAGTTATTTACCAGGCGCAAGATTTCAATTAATTCTATGAACGAAGCCGGGAAAAGACGCACCGGAATCAGCGAGGTATAAAATACCATTGATACATCTCACCTATATATAATTACATCTAATTACATACATCTAATCGCACATATGCATACATGCACAGGGCGCAAGTAGGCTACACAACCCTATGAAATCAAGCATTCGAGCGGAATATACTGGAGGAGTTAAGCAGGCTTCCACGACCAATTCCAAGGTGACTCCCCATTACGCCCAACAGCAATTAATACCTGAGCTGACCAAATAAAGTCGTATCAACACAGTCTCGCCACAATGACAAATATACCACTCGAAGGACTTTTTGCCCTTGACATATTCTCCGCGTTCATGTGGGCATACGCTCAAACTCTAGAGTTCAAGCGGATCGCCGGGGACACCACAATTCAGCAATCGGACCGCATTATTTCCAAGGGCGGTGATGTATCATGGCAATCATTCACCCTCAAGAATTCAACACTCAGTAAAATTGCCGAGAATGTGAGCAGAACTGGATTGGCAAGTGTGGAGGAAGTGTATTTGACAATCATCCCACCACTTTCAAAATTCCGTCGTCTGCCAGATACAGGTGTGGCAATTGAGTATGCAAGTCAGCAGGCAAGAACTTATGAGCTAAGCGCAGAATGGGACCGGGCTTCGCAGTGCCATCTTTGGGCATTGTCAATTTGCGAATCATTTGATCGGAATGAAGAAGCAGCAATTTACGCAATTGCATCATTAACGGAATATCTCAAGTCACTCAAGGAAGTAGCCGACATAATGGCCGAGCATAAGTACAGCCAGAAAGATATTCAATGGTTCCGCAAGAGAAGAGAATCACTCGCCAAAACACTACGAGATTTCAGCGATAGTTACACACGCCAAAAAATTCACGAGATATATATCATACAAGGGCGAATCGAAGGGAACGAAATTTGGAATTCTCAAGAAATCACAAAGATGAAGACCAACGAACCCAGCATACCATTGAAATTTAATAAGATCCACCAAGCCATTATATCTGATCCTACAAGTTCGTCCTGGGCAGATATCGATAAGGGCTTTGAGAAAATCCGGAGGAGATTCGAAAACTGCTCAAAGAGAAGGACGCGTTAGGGTGGACGCCACTTCACTACGCAGTGATGAAAGAGAACTATCGGGCTATCACTAGTTTACTTAAATGGGGTGCGGAATGGGGCATACTCAATCTAGCAGAGTGGTCACCCTTACACCTTGCTGCCGGATCGAAACCCTCACGAAACATTTTAAAAACAGTCCGGACGATCAAGTTAGACGTCAATATACAGGGTCGAGGAGGACTCACACCACTACATTTTGCGGTGCGAAGTAATAATGTTCCTATGGCAGAAGCGTTGATTGATAATGGAGCGAACATCCAAACCATCGATAATTTTCGCAGAACCTTATTGCACTGGGCAGCACATTACGGATCAATTGATGTTGCCTACGTTCTACTTCAGAAAGGCACAAACATGGACTCAGCCGATGATCTTGGAAGAACTGCTCTCCACCTCGCCGCTCTTCGTGGTCATAAAGAAATTTTGGAAGTCCTTTTGAATTCAGGTGCTGATATTGAGGCTTTGGATCGTGATGGAAAAACTCCTGTTCGAGTGACGAATCACATCACTATTCGCAACCTTCTAAAAGTTAAGGGAGCGAATATGAGCAAGAATCCCAACGAATACCGTAGTGCCCTACAAGAAGCTACAAGAGATATAAATATTGTTGGTGTCAAACAGCTTCTTGATGCAGGAGCTGATCCCAATTGCAAGTTTAGCTCTGCACTACATACAGCCATCAAGGTTGGCGAAAGAAGAATTATCGAAATGTTTCTAGAGAATAAAGCAAACATGGATTTCACCAACAAGAAGGGCGAAACAGTCACTGCGCTCAAGGTGGCTATCGACGCGGGGAACCTGGAGGTCTTTAACTTGTTGATCTCCAAGGGCGCAAATAAAAAGGATTCAAACGCTCTCAGAGCGGCAGCGGAAGCAGGATATAAGGATATCGTCGAGCTTCTCATCAAGGAAGGAGCAGACCCAAATGTTGAGGATAAGAATGGCGGCACAACTCTTCATGCAGCGGCAGAAGCAGGACAGTATGATATTATCGCATTTCTATTGCCGAAAAATATAAATTTTATGGCAAAAAACAAACACGGCGGTACCGCACTGGAGATAGCAGCTAGGTTAGGGCATTTCCAGATAATCGATCTGCTGGTTTCTAAGATGGCGGGTTCGGTGAATATCCAAAATAATTCCGGCGAAACTGCTCTGCATGTTGCAGTTCGAGGGAGTAAAGAGATAGCCGTGCAACGTCTTCTCGAGCAAGGAGCGGATATTCACATTCAGAACAAAAACGGACAGACAGCACTACATCTTTCCGCCCTGCTATCCAAAGAAAAAATAGTACGATTATTGCTCGGTCATGGAGCGGATCCGACGGTTAAGGACAAAGATGGCGAAATTGCCGCGCAGATAGCAAGAAAATCCGGTGTTAAAACGATTGAAGACATCTTGATACTTCACGAAATCAACTTCAACAAAAATCACGAGGATCTCCATATTGCAGCAAGGGCCGGGAATAAGACTGTAGTAAAAGATCTCTTAGCCAAAGGAAAGCATGTCGACTCCCGCGATACGAATGGTAAAACTGCATTGCAAACCGCATCGAGCCAAGGACATCATAAGGTTGTGAAGCAATTATTGAACGCCAATGCAAGCGTCGATCTCCAAGATAATAATGGTCTAACCGCACTACATGCGGCTTCAGAAGCCGGACATCAGCTGGTGCTAAATCTCCTTTTCGAGCACGGTGTTAGTATCGACATCAAAGACAAGGGAGATAGAACTGCACTATTTCTAGCGGCTGCTGCTGGGAAGGACCTAATTGTCCGGATGTTGGTACAGAACGGGGCAGATATCATCACTAAAGATAAAAGTGAGCATACGCCGCTCTCCATGGCAGTTGAACGATGCCATGAGGAAGTGCTAGGTGTTCTCTTAGAACGTGAAGTGGACAGAAAGTACGAAGATCATAGTACAATAACCAAACACAAACACCCCAGCATTACAGCTCTGCTATTAGATGCGGATGGTGGAAAGCTTCTAGAAAAGGCAATCCTGACTGGGAATGAAAAGATTGTTCAAATACTCCTAGACAACGGCGTCGACGCAAATGCTCCCGGGGATAAACACGGCAGTGCTCTTCAAGCTGCTCTGTTTTCTGAAGACGCCGAATGGTTGCCTTCACTAGGATTGTTAGAGCTCCTCTTCGAGCACGGGGCCGATATCAACGCCTATAGCGACGAGCATTGTAGCGCACTTCAAAGGGCTTCAGCAGAAGGCTATGTAGAAGTTGTCAAGCTACTCCTCGATAAAGGAGCGGATATCAATATCCAGGGTGGTAGAAGCCCCAACGCCCTCCTATGGGCCATATCTCGCGGGAATAAAGACGTTGTAAAACTACTCCTCGAAAGCGGTGCAGATGTCAACGCCCGAACGGAAAAATACGGAACTGCGCTTCAAGCTGCCGCCGCTACTCGAAACCTAGAGATGGCCGAATTTCTTATGGATAACGGCGCCGAAGTAGACTCGCCCGAAGACAACCAAGACAATGCGCTCCAAGTGGCTGCGTGTGATAGGGATTCCGATTTAGTGCGACTACTCCTAGACCATAGGGCGAATGTCAACGCACAGAGCGGGGAGCAAGGAAGTGCTCTAGTACAAGCGGCTCGATATGGACATTCGAAAGTTGTAAAGATGCTATTAGAGAAGGGTGCAGATGAGAGCGACTATAGAAGTGCGCTAACTCAAGATGCTGGTAACGGATCCGGAGGAGTTGTAAGCCTACTGTTAGAATGGGGTGCTGATGCGAATGCGGATGATGGGAAGGACGGGTGTGCGTTAGTACAAGCAGCGAAGAATGGGTTTATAGATGTTGTCAAGTTATTGCTGGAGAAAGGAGCGGACGCAGACACTACTCTAGTCGAAGCTACGAGGCATGGGTCACATACTAATGTTATATCGGAGCTTTTGAAGAGTGTGACCAATAAGAGCGTGATTGGTGATGCATGTAAGGCCGCAGATGAAGAGGGACACGAAGACTTGTTGGCACTATTGTTGGAATACTGGAAACCCGAGGAAAGAAACATGTAATAACATATATATACTTGCTTGATATGTATTTAATGGATGCATAAATTTCAACCCGTTGATGATAGAAGCGGTCTTCAATGCAGCTGCAGATTGAAAGGGAAGGGAAAGTATCCAATTCCATCCTAATATTCGATATTCGGCGGCATCCCCACTCACGGGGGAGATATCCAGCCTACATATCATGAAGTACTTGCGTATGTCAGTCCACCTCCAAGTACACCTAAGCTAACCCTCTCTCTCCTATCCTCACTTCTAACGTTAATCGGGATCAAGCTCTGCCAACGGTACATGTATCCACCGGACTGATGTGTTCGATTTCCGCCGCGGCACTACATTTTCTATCAATATATAGATACATTCAGTACGACATGCATGATAGAAGCTACTAAATCGCCAGAAAGCTTGACAAGGGTGGGCAGGATGAATATATACAGTGTATTATCATACATTATCCATATAGATCTATAGATCTAGAAACACTAGCAAGCATTGCAATTGACAAAAGAGCAGACGAACATGATGTATGGGTGACCCAGTGTGGTCCACAAGGACGCTCGAGGCGAGGTTTGAGAGTGTCCTCGAGGTGCCGTCCTCGCTGATCGACCTCTATCCTTGTCTAACCTCGAGGTCCGACACTACCGCCCACGAGGTGTCTCGAGGAACCTCAAGGGCGGCTCTGGGAGAGCAAAAGGCGGTATATATATATTTCAGTTATATAAAAAGCATATATCTTTGAGCAACTGCGCAATTGACTACAGTTGCCCGCCGCTATACTCTACCGAATGCCAAAAAAAGCTATAACGGACGGGTTTTGGTGATCCGAACCTGAATTTCACATAGAAAATGACACAATTTTACCTACTGTACTGAATAATCTGCTGTATCGAACGAGGATATCCAAGTTCGTTATAACGGAGGGATTGTAGTCGGATTCCGCGTTAATTGGAGATAATCCGCGCTAATTACTACATGTAATTAGGGTACAGCTCCCCTAGCCCTCAGCTCCCACCGCATACAACAACAACAACAACAACATGTTACGCGTAACCTCCAACGCCCACCCGCCAACCTCCAACCCCAGCACCCACCTCTGGTAGTCTGGCGCGAGACTACATGTAGCAATTGACCTCGTCTCGATTGGGCAGATTATAGAAATGTATAATACCGTCGTCTCTCGATACAAGGATACGGTCGGGACCGAAGATCTGTTCGGAAGAACGGGTAAAACGTATTTCGGGACCGCCGATTACTCTCCTTACAACGCGGCATCGCAAGGACAGGTAGTGCCCGCGAGACTCTCTGTCCTTGTATGTCGTCGGAACAGTATTTCAGGACCGCCGATTACTCCCCTTATAACGAGGCAAGGACAGGTAGTGTCCTCTGTCCTTGCCTCGTCCGCGTGGGCGTGGGCGGTTGCTGTTGTCCTCATGATAGAAAGCTAGATATGGTATGTTTCTAGTCAGTTGTTTCCAGACACATATCAGTGTTCAGAGACGTACACGCTGGCAGATACTAATTCAAGTTTAAAAGGAATCAATTGTCACCTCGACTTCTGCTATTCCCGATCACATATCTATTTCTATCTTTAAACCTCGGGACATCAGATCCAAACAACCCCCATTATATTAATAACTGAATAAGCCATGTCCGCTCCACCTGTCAATAATACAGCACCTCAGCTGCCAATAGTGGTGGTCCGCACTCCCGGTAACCCCAATATCCCCGGGCCAAGGGTACTAGTAATCATAGGTATATACACATAATTTTGCACAAACTTAATTACAGACCACAACTAATCCATCACACCCTTCCAGGTCCGCAAAACCACTTCCAGATCCGTTATAAGCCGGGAAGCCTAGCTCTCTTCTTTTGGAAAAGAATCAAAAAGCATTGTGCATTACCCCCTGGCAAGATGCTGCTGATATATAACGGACTTGAAATGGACAAAAAATATAGCTTCATGCCTACTTTCCCTCCTAGAGCAGAGCTTTATGTTTCACCCATTGTAACTAGGACTATTACGATCACTGTCAGCTTCCCAAGCTTAAATATTCCCAGCCTAACACTGCAGGTCAAATCGTATAGGCCTTGTCTGGAATACTTGAATCAAATTAAGCTGCACAGCCGCCAGGTATGTGCATCAAATAATCCTCTTTTGATGTCTTTCTATTCACTGATGTCAATAGTTTGACGACTTCCACTTGAGGGATGATCAACAGAGAATAATTCGAGGGCATAATAGCTTTGGTCTATTTCGGATCCAAAATCAGTCCCAACTTACATATTCCATCTAGCCGAGGGGGGGTGTTCTCGGTGATAGGGACACCCTGCCTGAGAGACCCGGGTATTGTAAGCATGGACATGTTTTGTGGAATGTAATCATATGGAGCTTGTATTGAGTTTACAAGAACGCATACCATACATGTACTCATAGTATCAATAAAAGATATTTTTTTTCTCCAAAAATAGATCCGGTGCGAGCAAGGGAGATGGGGTACATGTAGTTACATATAGTTACCTAGCTGAGATACATGTAGTCTTTATGGGGAATATTATTGCCTGGTCTATCAGCAAACCAGCATCTTACAATTAGGCGTTAAAAAACTAGCCATTCTCCTAACTCTAATACATCATATTTAAGTCTTAAATTTAGAAGGTTGATCAATTGATATTCTTAATAAATGAAGTCGATATCGATAATACTGCACGTAACTGTCACCCAACACTTGAGTCTGACATTCGAATTAACCAAATTTGCACAACGTACATCTCCACTAAAGGCAAACAAGAACTTCGACTATACAAGGTCCAAACGAGACTTCTTTTTTCCCCACAGTAGCATTGTTAATTCCCCTCAAGGACAAGATGATAGATCTCCCTCCCTCTATCGAAATGTATTTCGTCCACATGAACAGCTATTGGCACCAATCCCTGGTCTAAATATACCGCATCATTCTCCAATTCGTCTTTGCTGTCATCACTTTCATAGCCTTCACCATACTCCTCCAGCCTAATCCTGGCGTGCTCCTTGGCCGAACCTTTGCACCTGATAAAGTCCTCAAGCGGCAAATGGAACACGACCTCCTCTCTCCCAAGCTTATCAAAAGACCCCATAAACCAATACCTCCACCGGTCCATCCCAATGCTCCCCAACCCATTACCCTCACTAACAATCTGCGCAACCAAGGCCCTCCGCTCCTTCACCAGCCTCCTCAGATACGTCCTACAATTCGCCGTCCAGGCGCGCATCTTCTTCTGCATCACCATGGCCTCCTGGTAGTCGAGCACCAGGTGCTCCTGGGCCCTCTTCATCTCGGGGCTGCGCTCCACGGGGTCCAGGCTCTCGTCCTCCACGAGGACGATGGCGCGCAGCTGCTCGATCTCGTCGCAGACGGCCTCGACCTCGCCCTCGAGGATCCACCGCGCTTCGTCATGGTACTCCCAGAGCTCCCACCAGAGGCGCGAGAAGGCGTGCGCCATCGAGATGAGCTTCTTGGAGGCGGGCGGCCAGGGCGGGTTGGACTCTTTGCGGATCCGGGCGAGGGGGCTGATATGGTCGCCTTTTTTGGGTGGCATTTTTTCTTTTTTTTTTCTTTTTTTTTTTTCTTTGGAGAGAGAGAGAGAGAGAGAGAGGATATCTAGTAGTGTGGGCTGGGTTTTTTTTTCTCTCGCTCTGTTTGGTTTTATAATTTATAGTAGGAATCCTCAGGACCTCGGGGGAGCGAATTCGAAATTACCAGTCGAGAGTATATACCTGGGGGTGCGGAAGGTGGCCGGGGAATGTTCTTAATAAACTGAGATGCTCAGTTTTCAATTGGAGAAAGGAAACCAGATATTACCACATGCGCCAGCAATATATCTGTCTTTGTATCCTTTGGTGTGTGCGGTGTCTCTATCACATTGTGAAGAAGCATTAGGGTCATTGTTCATTCATGGATGGATGGTTTCGATTGGCCTCTCAATTAGTAGCTGTGTCTCACAGCATCAAAAATGTCTTTGTTCGTGACAAAGGTGTGATTTTGGCCGAAGGTTTAATCCTATGGATCAAAGAGGTTTCCAGCTTGGCCGCGGTTTGTTCTGAAGTCGACAACAGTCCGTATACGTACTCGGTCATGATATCAAAACATAACGAGCGCTTTAATCTTTACTATTGAGGATGAAGTACTACCGCATATGTAGTAAAAATATTTATTACAAAACGAGCAAGATGGCTTGGAACAGATGCTCCAACGAATTGATGAATCAGCCGGGAATCGAACCCGGGTCGGGCGCACACTATCGAAAGGATGGCAAGCGCCCGTGATACCCCTACACCACTGAATCACGTTTATGAGGCGATTACAAACATTTTAGTACTTGGAAACAGTACCATTTGAGGATGGTCCTAATGTCGCACGAGTACTTCTCCGATGCAACGGTAAAGATGGATGACAACGTGCAAGAACAAAGACTTGACTCGACGTGGGCAGTGGTATTGGGATAGATGATAGCTATATAAGTACTCAGAGTAGTAGATATCTACTTGTTCAATCCTAATATCGTTAATTAGTAAATGGTCTAGCTATCACATTATAAAATCTTCAGAAATCTATAATGATAGCTGGAAATCTGCTCTCTCCAGGAAGTTATTAATACCAACCCTCACAAAACGAAAGTTTACGGCCCCAATATACTTGTGTGCTCCGGGTTGATATTCGCATCATAATATCCCCCTTAACTTTTCTTATTATGCACCTACTATATATACGCCAATATCAAAAATTCGAGGATCTAAGTTATACCGGTACACCGAGACATGTACAGCAAACATACGGCGCGACTTACGGCGCACGTACATCACTCTAAACACAATCACCTATATGCCCTGGAATTACATAGTAGTCTCATATACCCAGTCGGGTGGGTACTTGAAGGTGGCATTCGAACAGTTCCACATGGATCTTGACATTTGATTGTACGTTATGGGAACCGGGGGTGGGGGGGGTGGGGGGTAAAGTGCGTAATTGCGTAAAGCACCGGCCGGATACATGTATGCACCTTGCTGGGTAGGCGCTAGCTGAGTGATAGCGTGTGCATAAACCCTAGCCCTGCCTATGCCTGAGCTATCGTCGGTTGACTGAGTACATGTAATTAATATCTGCACCTTTGGACTGTTTCGAACAGAATTGCAGATTGGACAAGATACCGCAGAGAATATTCCTCGAGTACTCATTGGCCAGAGAACATGCAGCCGAAAAAAAAACATCGGCCTGAACCGGCATGTGTGGCTAGTTAACTGCTGTGGAAAGCAATCACAGGCCATCACAGGCCATCACTCGTGCGTGTTTACCAACCCAAACCGCCATTGATTTCTACGGATCCGATAATGCGTATGACCGGATACTCCACTCAATTCACCGCCCACTGTCGTCCCCAGCATGCAGCGGTGTTTCATGTTATTGTTTATACTCGCGCCATGCCGTCTCGTTACCTCGGTTACGCCCGGCGAAACCCAGCATGTGGCTGTCTATCGCCGAACCTTGCCATATCTCCCCCTTTCAACGCAGCAACTCCCACGAACATACATCCTAAATCCCAATCCTCACCAACTGTACAATGTCCGCCCGCCGCCCCGCCGTCAAGGCCATTATCTTCGATGTCGGCGGAGTCTGCGTAAGCACACCTCCCTCCCCCCATGTCCCATGCTCTACCCCCCCGCGGGGGGCCGACACTACCACTAACACCCAGCTCCAGGTCCTCTCCCCCATGCTCGCCATCCGCTCCTACGAGAAGCGGCACCACATCCCCCCGGGCTACATCAACCACGCAATCGTGCAAACCTCGCCCACCGGCGCCTGGCACAAGCTCGAACGCGGCGAGATCCCGCTCGACACCAACTTCTTCCTGCACTTCACCTCCGACCTCACCAACCCCGCCATCTGGGCGCACTTCCACACCACCCGCAACCTCACGCCCGCCTCACTGGCGCCCCCGCCCATCGACGGCGAGTACCTCTTCTGGGAGATGATGAAGACGTCGCGCACCTTCGACCCCTACTTCGTCACGGCCATCCAGCGCCTCAAGGAGACGGGCCGCTACAAGCTCGCCGCGCTCACAAACGACTACCCGTTCCCCAAGGACCACCCGTACAGCGACAGCACCGAGCTGCGCTCGCTCTTCGACGTCTATGTGTCGAGCAGCGAGAGCGGAATGCGCAAGCCCGAGCGCGGCATCTACGAGCTGGTGCTGCAGAAGCTCGGGCTGAGCGCCGGCGAGGCCGTCTTCCTCGACGATATCGGCATGAACTTGAAGGCGGCCAGGGCGCTGGGGCTGCGCACGATCAGGGTGGGGCTGGACGAGACGTGGCGCGCCGTCAGGGAGCTGGAGGACATGACGGGGGAGAGGTTGCTGCCGCCGGGGGACCCGCCGATTATTGCGGCTTTGGGACAGGATCGGGCGAGGCTGTAGTTGTTGCGGTTCTGTTCTGCGCGCGCAAGGATGAGTTTTGCTTTTTGCTTTTTTTTTTTTTTTGATAGAGCCGGTGTTTTTTTTGATTGTTGTTTGGCCCTTTTTTTGTGTGTCTTATTGCGGTAATGGTTTATATATATGCATGTAGTGTAACAGCGTAGCTAGTAGAGTAGCAGCAACAGCATCAGCACGTGTAGTTGGTAGCAGCAGGAGCTATCATGATCATCGCAATATGTAGTTGTAGGATGTAGTGAAGTGAAGTGAAGGGGGAGATAAGCTTAAATGTCGACGAATTCATGCAATGGTGGTGGGTAGATACATGAGAGTATCAGACAGACATCCTCACGACGAGCAGGTAGAAGCATCGATCTACACACACAAACAACAACGCCCATCACGTCTCCCATCACGCTTCGTCACTCATCATCAGGTTGGATCCTCTCCCTCGCGCCCCTGCATGGGGCCAAATTAAGTACCGGGTGCATGTATGTACCCAGATCTGTACGTGATCACTGCTTCAATCCCCCCCCCCCCCCCCCCCAATGCACGAGGCAAGGGCTGCCAGAGCATACATAGAGTACATGTGCCCAATCCAGCATTTGCATTTCGTCTTTATTAGATACGTAGGTAGGTACATGTCGTACCTGCTCCCCAAGCCACCAACAACGAGCCAAAAAAAAAAAAAAAACTTAACAGCAGCTGCTCTACATAACAGCCAGGTAACGTGCACCCGCAAAGATTAAATGTTTGTGACGAACGGAGATTACGTCCGCTGCTGCTGCTCTTCGTACCCTACATATTTCTGTATCTCATCTCGTGCCTACCGAGGAACGGGTTAGTTGGTAATTGCAGTAATAGATTATAGAATAGTAATAAGTCAACCTAGAGTAGTGGGGGGGAGGATCGAATAGTAGAGTAAATACATAGTAAAACTGTTATGTCGATCTTTACCCCCCCCCCCCCCCCCACGAATAACAACCGTTTTTACCACCACCACGACCACCCGGCCCTCGTCTCCAGACTTTCCCACTCACCGCCTCAACACTAAACCTCCCGCGGGGGAGCCGGAGGCAATATGAGGGAACTAGGGGGGAAGGGGTGGGATGGATAAGCTATGTAGGTGCTGTACCTGACCTAACCTACCCTACCTACATGTATCTACGAACCGGCAAAGAAAAGAAAAAAAAAGAGAGCCCCCATGGGCCCATCTCGCCTCATATCTTTCCTCCCCGAAGGATGAACACTAAAAAAAAAAAAAAAAAAAAAGTGAGAAATCGGTACCTGCATACATGTCACCCCCCTTCTTTAACAAAACAGCATCACCTCCCTCTCTCTCCCCCCTGAGCGGTGAAAGATCCCCCTCCCCCCGTCTCCTTCCTCTTCCCTCTTCCCTCACCTAACTCACCTCACCTCACCACTACACCACCCACCACCCCCCCCCACGGCTCGCTAAATACAGCAACCCTTGCACAAGCTCTGAAACGCAACCCTGGGGTCGGATCTCGGTTGGTACGCTGGTTGGTGGTTGTGGTGCCTGCTGATCAGGTACCGTTCGTCCATCCATCATCCACATCCACATCCACATCCACATCCACATCCATTCCATCCACATCGATCCATATACAGTACCGGCCCGGGTGAAGTCACCTCAATGTTCGTGTTCGTTCCCTTCCCTTCCCTTCCCTTCTTCTTCTCTACTACATACTCTAGAGTCTACTGGGGTGGATAAACACGACCACCACAAGTAGTTAGACGCAACCTGTCACTCAAGTCTACCTGCATCAATTGTCCGGCGCCGCCGCTTCCCCCCCTTCCTCTAGATCTTCCCCTTGCCCTGGCTAGCTCCCGTACATAACTCCCGCAGAACAAGAGCGCCGCGCAAAAAAAAAAAAAAAAAAAAAAAAAAACGGAAAAAAAAACCACGTCGTCAGTCGGCGCCGCCGTGGTGGTGGCCAACTTACATGTACTTATGCAGGTACCAACCGGCCGGGGAAGGGGATGTATGTAGGGTAGGGGGTGCATGTAGAGTAGGCAGAAGTAAAAAAAAAAAAAAAAAAATTCGCGGAAAACGCCCCTTGTTATATTTTTTCTCTCTCTGGTTATAGCCGCCGCGCCAGCTATGTAGTACTGTGATGGTAGATGTGGGTATGATGTATGATGTATATGTAGGTCAAGGTGGATAGAGTAGAGTAGGGTTCACTACCTACATACATACATACTTGTTATCATGCACAATTGCACAACTTGCACAAAACTCCACCTTAGACTTTTCTCGTTCACTCAGTCTCCCGCCCAGTAAGTGAGGCTGCGGACTAGGTATCTGTTCCTTTTCGCGCGGCCGGCAGCTAGTACTCTAGAGTATACTACCTAGCAACTTAAGACTGGGCAGAACAATCTCACTCACTCCCCGAGCGCCCTCCTTCCTTCCTTCTTTCCCCTCTCCGCACATGTCCCCGTAGTATACTATGTAGATAGAGTACTAATGACGATAGCAAGAGCGCTCATTACTAGTACTCGGGGGTCGTCGGTTCATCACCTCACCTCACCTCACCTCACCGAGCACAAGTGCAAGGCGCGCGTGCGTGCGTGCGATATCGCAGCTAAAGTGCAGTACGTATATCCAGGTCGGGACAAGACATTCCTAATGAGTAAGCTTGTTTTTCCTAGCTGTGCCACACAAACAAACATCTAATTCCGAGCATGGGGGCCAAGGGCCAAGGAGGCCAAGCTGCCTGTTACTATTTTTCCCACTCTCGGAAAGAGGCCTATTATTACTATTCGATTCAGCGGAGGTGCGGCCGTTGGGGTGGAGGGGGAAGAAGGGGGGGAGGGATGTTTATATGTTACAACTGATGTAGCCTGTACCTACTGATGTACCTACCTACAGGCAAGGCAGGAGAGGAACATGTACAGACAGTATGTGTCTGTGATAGGTTGAGAAGGGGGGCGGAAATAGATAGAGGGTATCCGTATTCGGTTCCTGGTTTTTTAGATTTTTTGGGGGGGTGCAGGGCCGTTTTGATTTGGACTCGGATTTCGTAGGTATCATCTTCATTATCTTTACATGTTATCATACTTGGGGGTCGATATATGTCCTCCTCTCTCCACCGCCTCCTCTATGTTCTTCTTCGTCTTCTTCTTCCTGTATATCAGGGCGTAAGGTAAGTAATTCTACAAAAGAAAGAAACAAAAAACAAAGGAAAAGTTACTAAAAGGGCAAAATATTAAACAAAACAAAACAAATGCCAAAACATCATCGTCAAACAAAAATAAACAATAATAAAATAAAAAAAGAGTACAGACAACGAACGTACTACTTAGAGTTCAAGAATTAGTTGTCTCTCTGAAACAGTGCAACAAGGCCTAGGGTAAGCCGGCCGCCGTCAAACTTTCCATCCAAAAAAAAACAGCAGCAGCTTAGCATGCAGAGAGGGTAAAAGAAGAAAAAAAAACGAAACATGGCCTGTATCTTTCTCCCCCTCTCAGTCAATCAATCGATCGATAACGTGCATGCCATGCGCCTCTCTTTTCCTTCCCTCTCTCTAGCCTCTTTGCAAGTGGTGCCTCCCAAGACGAAACCGCTCCCCAATGGGAGAGCCTTTCTTTTCTCTAAGCGCACTTTTTTTCCACAATGTACGCTGTAACCGTCGTGTAGAACTTTTTTTTTCGCGAATAAAACTGCTCGGATGCGATGAAAGGAGTAACACACGAACCACGCCTGGGGGTGGGCCATGCCCACCATGCAATGTAATGCAATGAAACAAAATACCGAATCAGAAAAATAAAAGGGATTTGTAAGAAAAAGAAAAGAAAGAAGATAAGAAACCCGTGACCCATAAAACCAGACTAAACCCAATATTATGAAAATCGCCCATAAGTAACAAAAGCCAAAAAGAAATATGCAAGGCTCTCAAATAAAAAAAAATAATGTACCAAAAAAAAATTATTTAACGAAAGAAATCGAGCCAGAGGCGCTAAAAATCAAAAACGTAACCGCCCAAAAAGAAAATCCAAAAATGCAATAGTGGACAATGCTAAATCATAGGTATCACAATACTGTACAAGTGAGTCGGAAACCGTAGTTGTAGGTGATATCGAGGGATGATATCATGGTAGCAGAAATGCTATCGATCGCGAGCAAGTGATGACTTGTGAGTAAGCTGACTTAAGCTCATCGTTCTTTGTGTATCACCATTGCCATGACCACCGGGAGAAGGAAACGCTGACATTGTTTCCCGGAAGATTCTGTCGCTGTCGCTGTCGTCGCCCATCATGCTTTCCCTATCCTCTGCAGGAGTCTCCCATATCTCATTATCATCAGCGTCAACGCCAATGAATAAACTCTCATCATCATTTTCGTAGTCGCTTTCGTCAATTCCAGCTTCACTATCGAATCCGGTAAATAGATTCCCTGGAATTGCGTGGTAATTGGTAGGACTTGTCCGTGGTGGAGTGAGATCTGGTGTTGGGACTTCGCTGCTTGTTTTGCGCCTAATACTTCCGAAACCGGATCTGAGTCTGGTGGAAGAATGAACCGTATCTGTCGGACTTGATGACAGAAGTTGCCGATGTAGGACCAAAGCCATTTGCTCCTGGAGATTCGAGATTTGAGCTTCGGCTTTTCGCCGTGCACGCTGCTCACGTTTCACTAATGATAAAAGCCCAGTATACTGCGCAATACTGACAGTGGGCGTTGGTGTCACTGGTGAAGGTGACCTATCAGTGCTTTTTGGCGCCCTTATTGTTGATGAAGTATCCCGCTTGCTCCTCGTATCCTCTCTATTACCCTCAAGTGCTTTAAGCGTTTCCTCCCGTTTCTGCGCTGAAGCTCGTGCCTTCAATGAGCCTTCATGTCGCGGAGGCGCATTGAGATTTTTAGGGGTGCTGGGGAATTCAGAGCTGTCAACTTTATCAGATGATCCGGCGGAAGAAATTGATAAACTACGTAAAAACGATGGTACATCGAGACAATTGGGGTCTGATATACTCCCAGGAACTGTAGAGAAGTTTCGTCGTAAAGGAATTGCACCGTTCTGCGTAATAAATTCCTTTAAAGTTTCGACTTCCTTCTCCAGCTCCTTTACTCTGGTCTCTAAGCTAACAGCTTCTGTAATTTTCATGCTGCTGTAGCCATTGAGCATCCCCGCGAAGCTCGCAGGGCGCCCATGATCTGGAGCTTGGCTTGCTGGTCGCGGAGCATCTCCTCCACACGAATCAGCGTTAGAAACTCCACTAGCATCGCGGTGGTGTCGCGGGCCATCACTCCAATTTCTTTGCAAACTTGCAGGTCTGGGGAAAAGACCACCGCCGGGGGTTCCAGGTGTACCATCTCCATTCATGAAGCCCTCCTCCTTGGGTATCACAGATTGGCTACTACCGGGCCTAGGTGAGGTAGACCAAACTGATGTTCGAGGGCGTTCCGGATCACGGGACATTGATGGATCAAACACGACACTTGCAACCGTTGCTCTTCGGGGCCTTCGCGTGTCTGCGGGCGGTTGTTTGGTGAGAACTTGCCGATTGTGGTTACGGGCAGTAAAGGCAAACTTAAACCCGGAAGACTTTTGTTGAGGACGAACTGTAGAAGGAGCTGATGATAATCTAGAACCAGCATTCGATCGATCGATAAAGTCAGGGTCCATTAGTGGCTCCTATTTCAGAAAACTTAGCACCACACCCAATTAATCCATCATCTTCAATCACTCACGATAAAAGGTTCTCGTTCATCAGTTGATTCATATCGTTCATCGACTGGATCTGCAAATGCTCTACGCAGATTGTTATTGCTCCTCCGCCTCAAAAGACTCAGTGCCATCTTCAGCTTCGCCCCCTTCGTTTTGCTCCTTGAAGATGGCGATGCGGCTTTCTTGTCATCTGTGCAGCTTTCTGTGTCTGTTTGTGTCTGCCTTGAGGGCGACAAGTCCCGTAAATCCATCCCAACTGTAATTGATCCTTCTCCAGTATCCGACTCTTCGCCTACCATAGACGTTGTCCCCCGCGTATTAATACCCTGCACAGCCCGACTGGGTCCAATCTCAAATACAGCTGGAAATTTGTGACGATGCGATATGGTGGGTTCAGTGTCTGCTCTACTTGGTGGACTCGCAGTTGTTGGCGAAACGTTCTCCTCGGTGTAGGGTAGAGGATTGCTAATTGTTATTTCGTTTCGTCGTATGCTGCCCGAAGGATGTAATGAGCCTTTACTATTTCCTTTAAAGAAGTTGAATGTCGAAGTTCTGAAGGATGATATTCGGCGATGACCCATCGGAGCCGCGGAACTCGTTGGTACCATCTTTTGCTTCCCCAGAAACCCCACTATGTGCTGCAGCTGGTCCGGAGGTTGATAGTAGCTTATGGGGGATAACGAAACAAAACCCAAATTAGAGGAATATAAAGAAAGATGTCGTAGAAAATTCTATTTCATAAACAGTTCGCTTTTTCGTTTTCGTGTCCTTCGTTTTCCTCTTCCACCCTCTATTTCCTCTCCACTGTAATGCTAGTAGGTTGCAGCCTGGCCTCCCAATAGCTGGTCGTTTAGTTTTCCTTTCCTTCCTTCTTTTCTTCCACGCTGGCAGATTTGATAAAAATAAAAGAAAGAACAGCTCCCCTTGTCACCTTTTCACTCCGTTCGGGATCGTCCTGGACCAAAGCAACATGCAGGAGACAATGTGTCGATTGATGAACTCTTATGGAGGTCGTGAGGGAGGGGCCTGCCGAACCGCCGCGTTTAAACGGGGATGAAGGTGGGAGCAGAAGAAAGAGCACACGGACAGAGAAGCAAGGGACAGAGCTGGTCAACAACCACCAGATTAACGGGCCTTTTGCTTTTGTTAGTTTTTGTAGGGCTTTCTGTAAGGCCTCTGGAGGCTGGGACGCTGGTTGGCCGTGCGTATTATGGTCCGCACACAACGCTGATGTACGTCGTATACTCTATATGTATTAGGTACCGACAGGGCACTCTTTACTCTCTGCCCGAGCGAGCTGTCAAGAAAAATAATAATAAACGAGCGATCGGGGAAGGATACTGGATCCAGGTCTACACGAATAGGATACGCGTGATCCGGCACCGCGGTGAATGGTACGAAACGAGGAGAAGATACACTGACTAGTATCAGCCGCCGAATGGGGAAGACTCCAGCACGTCGTTCTTCCTTCTACTCCTCCTCACCCCTCCAAGAAATGTGACGACGGGACGGGAACTACCTTACCTACTTTCTTTCGTGGGGTTCGGGCGAGAAGACGATAAGTAACCGGACAAGAAGTCCGTTTTTTTTGCTTTCTACCAGCCACCATTTGATAGGTGCTCTTGTTCCTTTAAACAACTAATAAACAACTGATCTTTCCAAGGAGCCAGGCACCATATGAGGGAAAACTGGCCCAATTACACTGAGAAAGCAAGGGCGTAACAGCGTAACATATAACAGCAGGGGAAATAAGAAATGCATAGCTTTTAAGAGGTGCAGAGTGACAGCAGATGACTCGCATCATCCGTCGGCCGTCTTTACCTGATCTCGAAGAGATTGAGGCTTCAGACAAGGTAGTTCCCAGGCACGAGAAAACAATTCACTGAACATCTCCAGGTCCCACTTGAATACTTGGATACAAAGCTGGCAGCAACGATTTTGCCAAGTAAAGGACGACTTGCGGTGCATCTGCCCAGCCAACGAACCTGCCGTGTAACAAAGCTTGGGGCCTGCACCGTAGGTCTGGGGTCTCCGCTCAGTGGTCAAAGCGGGGCAGGGGAGGAAAGGGAAGGCGTTAAACTCATGCAGGTCAGGGAGACAGTTGGCATTCTGAGGAGCCAAACTCCAAAACGTATGGAGTATCTCGCTAGGTGGCGAATAACAGGCAGATTGAAAATGGGGTTTTCTTCTATGCGGCTTGGTCTTCTCAAGAACTCACAACTCACTGGTTGAGACACGTATGCGTGGCAATATATTATCGATGCTGTCAATCGCCGAGGAATTATCTAGAGTGCCTACTCTACCCTCTGCATACATACATTCTACCTACATACTCTACTCCAGATAGAAGGGAAAAGTCTGCTACACCCTGAGTGGAGGTAACTTTTTCGGAGTCTCACCAATAGACCCGAGTGTGCGTTCTCTACGGTACCTACAGTAGAGTACTTGCTTACCAGCAAAAGAACCAGAAAATGCATTTGCTCAGGGCAAGGATAATTTGTATGGAGTGGCGCCGTTCTCTCATACAAATAATCCCTGTTTCCGTCACTTGCATTTTCTGGTTCTTTTGCTGGTAAGCAAGTACTCTAGATATGTGAAGAACGCACATATATGCACTTGTACGGCTCGGCCCAAAGCCCTCTTTACTCTTTACTCTAGACTAGAGTAAACTCCCTCTTTAACATACACCACCGCTTCACATGATAAAATATAGGTTACAGTAAACGACCCCACACACATACGCGACAACCTCTCAACACGGCACTCCTGGGATGTTTTAAGGCGACGTTTGGCTTTGCCTGGGATCAAAATAGTTCTCCCGGGTTTCAATTTACCGAAACCTTGGAGTACTTATCCGTTTGAATAAAACATTAAAACCGACTAATTCTCGAACCGCTCGCTCCCGGGATCACAGCCGCGAGGAACAGCACTGATTTCTAAAAGAGGGAACTCGGGGAGGCGAAGGGAGAAATAAATTCCTTACCACTATTCCTACACGTCATTCTTAAATGAAGCATTTAACCTAGCATACCCGGACCAGGCACAAAGGGGATCTAATAACCATGTCTTCTAGAAGGATGTAGGATGGGCTCATGTATGCTTCGAGAATTTTTCCCGCCGTTCCGTCCTAGTCAACGAAACGCCATACATACCAAAGCATCCGTGTCAAAAAGGTACGGCTAACTATATCAAATATTTCCAAGAGATGCATTCGCTACTCAATTTACATGACTCGTGTCAACGGGAGCGATCGTCTCGGAAACATGAGTTATGGACTCAATAAATCGGGAACTGGCATGTCATGTGACAGCGCGGTTGGCGAATCGAAACTACCGTGACAGAAACATATGTGACTTAGGATGGTCTTACTAAGGCATCGAGCTGGCCCAAATGGAGTGGTCGCCGACTCAGTCCCAAGGAGATCGCCCATCTCCGAAATATAGATTCCGATCGATAGAAATCGAGTTTTACCAAACAGAAAAGCGGCATGCCGAAGTGAAAGAAAATCGATTATCTAAACGGAATTCTAAGATCCTTTCTTCAAATCGCTACTAACTCAGATCAGTGCTTATTTTGTGCACGTTCCTGAGGGACACCCAGGATTATCTGGGCTCGAGCCTCCCCCCCAGGAACCACCCGACGCAGGTCCAACGCAAAGCCGATCCTGTTGGCCCAAGTGACTTCATCCTGTGCTCAGGATACCTCGGTACCGGTGTATTCAATTACAGCGTGTTCAGGCCTCTATACTCCACACCGAAGAAGTCGGCAGTGTCTCCGTATCAATGGGTGATTAATTTTCGAGCTGAAGAGGGAAACTTTTAGATTAGATTAACGGCCTTGCCGTGTTCAATCCCGGGTTAGAAACATTTCCGGGATCCGTCCATGTTTTCACCAAATGAAACAAAACCAAATTTGGACGGAAACTCAAGAATAGGAAATTATGATGAACGTGGGATATTGGCGTGGGTAGTTGCATGTTGGCATCGACCAATGTGTGGATTTTACCGAGTCTGGAACATCTACGAATGTCTGTGTAATGCTAAATGTGGAGTACGTGGTACCTACGGTACTTACTCTAGAGGCCCGCTGTGGTAGCTCATGGACGATCGAACATTTGTTTTGAAATGGGATAAATTTCTTTCTCTTGGAAAAGAAAGAATAAAAGGTACGTAACAATATTTCAACATCGATTCTCTTGGTTTATCGCCGGGAAATCGTTGGAAGTTGGTGCTAAGAAACTTTGTAGGATGAAAGATCATGGAGTGTCACTCGGAACTAGATGGCTATGTATCACATCAGAACTTTCATAAGCTTGAGAGCAAACATACAAAGCGTAAATAATGATCATATGACTGACTAGGTATATTCAGCTATGGTATCTTCGCACGTCATCTCTGAGAACTCTACCCTATTCGCTACTAGGAGCCTGCAACAAAAGTCATAACGGGGAGCCCCATATAGCAGGTAGTGTAGGTATGTGTGTACCACGGGGGGAAATCAGTCAAAGAGAGGTGGGTTTTTAAAATAGGGTCTACCGCATCCAATTCCGCCTTTTCCCACCCGCCTATAGCAAGGGTCCGTCGCTGGTATCAGCGCACTGTCTCGGCCTGAATCAGTCCCGTACCAATCACCGGTACCCTGAGTAAGGGTTAGTGATTCGGAGCTGCAATATCGTCCCTATCGGATTCTCTACCAATCGTTAGCCGTAGTCGTGAGGACGACTTCTAGAACGCCTCCGATTCAAACGGGCATGCCCAAAGCACTGCATGTACCTACCTCCCACGCGCACGGCCTCCAACCCGCCCCCACGTTGGGGGTTTGGGTAGCAGTTCAGGGAAGGGCATAAACAGACACACAAGTCCTACGATGTATGCTGTGGCTGCAAGCTACTAATACAAACTCAGTGTTGACAATTGCTTTGATCCAAGCCCCTATTCCAGTCAATAATAATGAGAGTTGCCTGTGGGATCTGGTCATCCCCAAGTTTCCCGGAATCTTTTTAGTCGGAGCGTGGACATAGTTACCGCTGGAATACCCAGCGGAACATCGAGAAAGGTTGGGTCATCAATTCTCCCGCTCCTGTTCTACGTACATCCCTACCTCCATCTGGCCATAGCTGCTGCATTACTAGCAAACAGGTTCCCTGTTGGTCAAAACAGTAACCAATTCTATGCAATGACAACCCACATTACCAGGACTGGGCCGCCGTTTTCCCTCTTTTCACGTTCTCGTCCAATATCCAGTATCCAACGACCCGTGCCTGACGTGGCAGTGCAGACTTATGATACTCTCAAGTGCATATACATACATACATACATATCTGTAGGGTAGAGTACTCTAGATGGCTTCTTTGGCGAGAATGAAACAGTACCTTTCTATCTGCACCTGCAATGAGTAGGTACATATAAACTTGTGGAGTAGAGTAGATTTAAATTAGGCACTCGTTGATTACATGTACCGTAGAATCTTCCGAATCACCAGAGCGGCTCGTTTGTACCTGAGTTTTTTGCACGTTTGCTTTTTCCCCCCGTTCCTTTTCTGACCCATATTTTCTTTTTCGTTCCCCCCGATGGTCCATCTCGGAGATCCCCCGCAGAAGCTGGGCATGACCGATGAGAGGATACGTGTCAGGTCGGAGAACTCTAAAATGCAGCCGCAGGAACCAACTAATCATGTAGCACGATTAGAGTCGAACATTTTTTTTCACGTTCATTGCGCGGATTGTACTCCATTCAGTCGTAATGCTGTTTCCACACGTGTGGGCTTTCTTTTTCTTTTCTTTTTCTTCTTTACTCTGGGGGGAGAGTGAAAGGGTGGAAGGATGGTGGTGGTTACATACGATACGAGGAGGACGAGGAGAACGTTTAACTCCCGAGAGACAAGAAATTGATCATAAGTAATGATAATATAAGCTTTTGATATGTATGTAGCTACTGTATCTACCCGGTCCCCATCGGGCACAGGAAAAAGAAAAGAAATATGAAATCCGGTCCAGATCGTGATTCATGGACTATCACTCGATCATCTCCCACACACGTGTCCCGACAACCCTCTCGATCAAAAAACGCAAACAGGGTTTATCCTTCCATCCCCTCCAACCACCCCATCTACTCTACCCCCATCCTAGATGACTTTGCGGACATGTGATACATATTGGCAGGAGCAGAAGAGGTGAGATTTTGATTTAAACTCATCGGAAACCAATCTAATCAATCTATGGAAAACTCTTCCACTGCAGGCACATACACTTACATAGCTAGTTTTTTTGTTTGCGGCCCACACTCTCACTCACACTCCTCAGCTCAGCTGCTCTACAAAAGCTAGAGTAGATGTCAGATGCGCAAGCAGCTAGGATCGAAATATCTGGTGGGGCTGCCTGCACAGAGAAATAAACCCCCCCAGACCATGACATCATCCCAAACCTCCATATCTTGGAATATCGAGCTCATCGGAAACTTTCTTAATTTTGCACACACAACGAAGATGTTTCATCGATAAATCCCCTCAATGTCAGCGCCGCGCCGTGGTGGGGGGGGGGGGGGTTACGTAACTAGCCATATGGGGGGGGGGGGACATGCGGATTTTTTTTTGAATGCTACTTGAGATGAATATTGCGTAGGTAAGGCTGTCTGTCAATCGAGATACAGATGCTAAGGATGCTGTCTTGGTCTGGGCTGGCTGGCCAGGAATGGATCTTCCTTCAATGTTCCTCCACGGAGTGCCTGGAGATCTATGAAGGTGGGTGTGTTGCGGGTAAATGTGCGGAACGTGGCGGTACGGATACGGCCAGTAGAGGAGAGCATGAAGGCCACACAGCATAACGTCCGGCACCGCCACGTCTTAGCTATCTCACGCCTTAACGCCGTGATACATGTATCTATTACGGCGATTCTAGCTGGATACATAACGGATCCGGAGGACAAACACTTGTTACAACGGAGATGTGGAGTCGGACCGGACAGGGCAGCCAGTGCCGCGAAAGGTCGTCTCAGGCTCGGGATTTGTTTACGCTGGAAGATCGAAATGGAGGGTGTCTGACGGACAGCTAGCTAGCTGGCGGTACGGTAACATCATAGTATTTGCTTGTATGGTACCGCCATCTATCGCCTTACTTACGTACCTCCGTGCCTCTAGTACTCGACCCACCTGGTGAATTAAATGGCTTTTACACCTTGTTATCCACGACTAAAACGTGACCAGGAAGCTTTAGTTATACGAGAAATGTGTAAAGTGGAATTGGGTACATATGAAAATGCACCGAATGCAGATCAGGGTATATCCTTGGATACAGAGCATCTGATGAAGAAAGTAAGTCTAGAATCTGCCCCGTATAACACATCATAAGAAGCTTCCGAGACGTGCTCGTTCTACTCAAAGACATATGGTTGACATACACCCCCGGTATCTCTTGGCGCACTGCAGCAGCTCCTCAAGTCTCATCTCCCGGCACCGTACCGCAAGGCGTGGGCAACTCGTCCAGCGGTAGAGGACTTGAGCTTGTTAGCCGGTTAGACACCGCGTGTTTAGTCACCGGCAACGTGTTTAGTCACTGGCAACGGAGAATCTACCGCTACAGTACTTTATTTTTTGTTTTTCATGTATGTACGGCCGGGCGAACCGTTAGGCCACGGCCGATTGATTGGCTTTTGTTTTTTCCACACATGAGAGGGAGTTGACTTTTGGGGGTGGGGAGGGGCATTGAGGAATGATTGGGGGATCGATCCGGGCCGGGATCTGTCAGGGTTAGGTGAGTAAATGATTGGAATGTGATGCCAAGCCATGTCAACACTTTGCATCAAAATCTCAGGGAATATTTATTGCCCTTCAGATTAGTCGAATGGGCGTTGAGCCTCAACCTCCACTTAGCCAAGGGTCTCTCGACTTCGACTGAGAGTGCAGTTTTGCAGTCTAGTTCTATTCGTGGTCCCCACACACTGCATGCATGTAAGCTGGTCAATATATATCTAGAACATCTTAGAGTAGGTCAAGTGCACTAAATTCAATCCTCAACAGGTGTCTTGAATAACTAGAATCTAGTGGGCAAGTAAGTGTAGTAATCATCGTTTATATGTGCATTAGTATGTACCCCACCGGCCCTTTCCGTGATAAATGTACTAACCAATGAGAAAGCTTCATGCCCATAATGAAGATTTAATAATTACTCACTCAAGTATCGGCTCCGACCGCCTACCGCAACTTGAAATAAAAAGAGACCAGTAACACTGAACACTTCTTGCTCAAAATAGAGATTTCGAAGATATCAGGTTGTATCTGTGGGTACAAAGGCTTCCCCCAGATCATGACCTAGTATCTATATGTCCGCTTAAAGATGCTAGGTCTCTTCCGGGCCCGGGAAAAGTTCATTAATCATGATCTATCTTCTAGGTCTCCCTGATAGAGTGCATAAATAAACCAATATAAATGCCTCCTGTGACAGCGAGGAAGACAAAACACCCAGAAAACACAGTTACGCGCCAGGGGGAATTTTCGGAATCTATAAAAGCTCTCTGGGACAGACTTATCCCTGCGCTTGAGGTATGTACAGCGGTAGGTAATAAGTGATGGAACGCCCTGAGGTACAGTTATACCTGTAAACACCGTATGTTGGTGGCGTTTTACCTAAAACAGGTATCACTGTGTCTCAGGCCGTTCCAGCACTTATTACCTACCGCTGTACTCTATAATTTATTGGTAGGTACATGAATCATGAGAAGTCACTCGGACTAGTCAGTAGTTACCAAAGCCAGATTTATTTAGTATAAGTATATATGCAGGCTTCTATCTATAACGTACACTAATGCCATGCGTTTTGATTCGATTGATTGATTTACTGGGCCTTTCGCGATTGACCGTAGATATAGGTAATAACGGGGAGATTTGGATTTGAAAGTTGCATCAGGGCAAAGTTAAATTACTACAAAATCTAACACCCGTCTCTCATTGTTATTTTTTAAGTAGTTTATAATTGTTTCTGCGGCTTGCACTAAGAGGTGCATGTATGTAAATAATAATGAATAACGAAGTTCTACTACATCGACGCCCTGATATAGGGGCTTGGTGAGCCTAGACTAAAGATATGTAGAGAAAATAGAAATGGGTATATACAGAGATAGGAAATGGAGATTTAGAGACTCATGTACTTGCTCATACTCCGGGCTATACAAGGTCCCTTTAAACTCTATAATGGCGATTAACGCGGTAAGAGATAGGCTCTCGTTTTACACTACCGCTACTCTTCTGAAAAAGACTCATTCTGGCACTTCCGCCGCAAATCTCTGCGGGATTGCCCTCACAAGGCATATTACAATCAGAATCTGGCTGAGCTTTCCCACCAGGGGCTGCGAAGCTGTTGGAGCAAAAGCATTGTCCGGCGTATTCGGTTCCGGCATATGTGAATCCTTTCGAGTCACAATATTTGATGCAGCCAGATGTAGTAATTTTCTCACCCCAATACCCCCATGTTTCTAGAGCACGGGGATTGACAGGATCAATCCAACATCCTTCTGAGACCCAACCAGTAGGGATATCAGATGGAATAGCAGCGGGTAGGCTCGTACTCGTAGCTTTAGAGCCAGATGCGGTTCCGACAACAGATGTGGTAGCAGAAGATCGGTTGATAGTAGTAGTGGTAGATAACGCTTTTGAGACGGTGACGGTGTCCGTGAGACCAAATACAGCAAAGCTTAATGAAGTACTTGTAGGGATTACTGTGGGGCTAGAGCTAGAAGTAATAAAACTGCTAGGCGGGCTGGAGGCTGTAGCAGCGATTGTTCCGGATGAGCTGGATATGGTAGGAACGGATTGGACTCCTGAACCAGCAACGGGGGAGACGTTCTTTGTATATACTGACAACTTTGCAGCGTCACCACAAATTTGGGTGGAATTACCAGCGCAAGGCATGCCGCACTTAGCAAAACCCATACGATCCGCCGGAGGAGCATTGGTTCCGCAGTAGCATTCTTCTCCATACTGTGTACCAGCATAAATGGCACCTTTGCTAACACAGTAATCAATACACATTTCATTGGTCATTGTACTGTTAGCTCCGCGGATGGGAAATGTTCGATTATTAAGGTCGTCCCTAGATTTAAGAATTAATTAGACAATGGATAAAATATGTAAGGGTGATGGGGGTGTATACATGACACAATCGAGATAGCTCCATCCTCTGCTTGATACATCTGTCCCATAAGACTTAGAAGCCCCAATTTCAGTTGGGGCACCGCAGTTAGTTTGTGGGGTAGCATTTTCAGGCCCCTCTTGTACTGGATTACAACCAGGAAGCTTCTGTAATAATCCTTCGGTAGGTTCATCAATTCTTGGAGGGATGTAGCAATTCTGGACCTTTTCAGTGTCAAAGTACTTGAAATGAGGACACTCTTCTATGACTCCACTATCACTGTTACAATCATCGATAGCGCTTTGAAGAACATCAACATTCCAGCCGTTGACAAAATCACCATGAAGACCTGGAGAATACGATTAGTGTGTGTTATTAGAGAACGCCTTGGTAGATAGACATCTCACCGTAACCAGTTGGATCACCGTTAGAAAGTACAAATGGTGCTGTGGCATCGTACCACTGGTCGCTAAACTTATTGGTTTCGTATATAACTTCGTAGAAAATCGATACAAATCTCACGGGATGAGTAGGGGGACAGGTCCCGCCAGTAACGCCATCCGGGTAAGCCATGTGGGACTTGTGATCTGAAGAATCCAGGTTTTCCCCGTCCCAGCAACTAGGGAAAAAGACTTGAAGACGATATCCACTATTAAATCAGTATAAAAAAAGCCAAGGATAAAGAAGGAAAGAAGGAAACAACATACTTAGCGCAGTTCCTCTGGGGGAAGCCTTTGGTTTCAGGACCACCATTGCCGGAATAATCCAAACAAGAATAGCTGATGGCTTGTTGTTCTGGAACATCTGTGTAGTTCCGGAGCATGGGGTTTCCAGCAAGCATACGAAAGCCTGGGGGGTAAGCAAAAAGCTTCTCAGTATCGTTTTCCCTGCGTTGCCTAAACATATATGAATTAGTATATAAAGTTGAATTGATACAATAAAGGATATAATTATTACATACAAGTAATAAATTGTGGCTCCGCCAATCTGCGAAACAGGGGTGAAAGTGCCGTTTTGAGCTCGACTAAAACAAATTTCATTAGTATTTAAAGCAGCACAGGTTGACTGAAACTTACTAGAAAAGTGAGGGAATCCAGTAGTTACTGAAATCATCGGTGACTGTACAAGAGGAGCAGGTGGAGCTACGAGCAGTATCGTAATCCATTGTAAAATTGAATCCGTTTCCTCCCATGATGGTATGCAGATGACCAGCAACTGCCCCAGGATTTACGATGGGGTCGGCGCGTTCGATCACAAGTGGGTTAAGACAGGGTAGGCGCCAAAAAGCAGACGTCCCCGGGACGAAGCATGAGATAGCGAGAAGGGCAGAGGTAGCCAGCGACGCAGAAGATATTCCAGACATCATTTTGTTTCCGAGATACAGAGTGTGTTTGATGTTTATGGAGTGAGAGGACTGGACTTTTAAGGGAGGTTTCCAACTCGAAAAGAATAGAAGGAGTTATTTGCCCAGCAATTAGAAAGGAGTGGGGTGAATAAAACGAGATACAGTAAAGAGTGTGGTAGAGAGTAAAGAGCGTGGGAGACAGCTGATCAACTTTCAATCAACGATGACTGTCATGGAAAGAAGGTTTAGTTCACAGAACTGAGGGTGGTGGGTTTATATAAGAGGAAGAAGAAGAGGAGGCATGGGCGTTGTTGATGATGCTGGCGGTGGTGGTGGTGGTGGTGAAAGAAATGTTACCCTAAGGCTACCTGTACTTACTATTAGAAGCCGGTTACATGATGAAACATGGAGTGGCTCCTCCCTGTCATATCACTAGCTTCGTTTGTGAAAATGTATCTGGCTAGAATTGTGGCTCTAGCTCTTCGGTTAACAAAATGAGAATATGTGGTACAATGTGGGTTAGGGCGAATTTACGAACCTTCAATATGTAATTCAATTGGCAAGAGGCCTGTAATTGAGTCTCTTGCGTCCTATCTTATAAACTTGTATATATGGGTATATGAACATAAAGAAATAAAGTCGTAATGGTATCATGAGAGGTACATGTACATACATGTAATTAGTATGTGTATACATGTATTGTTACAAACTTCCCGTAAAGCTCCCCTGAAACGGATTTATGCAGGTACAGTCGCATGCATCAAGTTCTCGCCGTTCACGATGCAACACCCAACCTCAATACTCGTTACTCAACCATAAGTGAAGATATTTAATGGAGAATACATAGTAAAGTTAAATAGAATATAAAGAAAGCGATTTTGAGACTACCATCTAGTATGCCCTCCATTGGCTTTGAGACACACCTCAACCCTTAATGGCAATTTATCTAGCTTTGGTTGGGACAATGCCCCCTACTCCTCTTGTGCAGCGATAAAAGGTTCATCATCACAATGAGGTATTCTCTGTCTATAACTTCATTCCCTTTTTAGTGCACTCTTGAGCATCTCCCATGAATTCTCTATGGCGTTGAAATCTGGTGATCCAGTAGGCCAATCCTCCTCCTGACTGACAGTTTGTATCTTTATTTATCTGTACAGTATTTCAGCCAATTTTATGGAGAATAACAACAGCTTGCCACTTGTCATATCTTGAAACTTTTGCAGAGTTCGTGGTGGAGTGGTTATGGTTTGACTCACCGTCAAAAAACGGCGGGAACTTGTTGCATGCGACTGTACATCCAAGTACGCATTTTCAAGGCTGAACTGCCATCGCGGAAGCATGCATTTTAGGGTAAAAGTTTGGAGGTCATTTCTGAATTCGAAAAATACATCATAAGATGTCAGACTATAACTACATATACGTACATGTAAGTATTTAGATCTCTCCATTGTGGGTTTTAAAGAACCCACGCTTAATTTTGCTGACTATTTGGACATATAAAAAATAAAGTCGACAACGAACAATTAAAATCTAGGGCTGCCACTTCGCGCGCGCTGGATACATGTACCTGTAAGAGCGAAACACATCTAGCTTGCTGATCCTTGTTTAGAGTGATGTCGCCAAAGTATAGTATGTGCTATTCAGGCTTGTAATTTACGCTACTGCAACCCTTATCCCAGGTTGTAGTACAGGAACTTCTCCCACGCTGTCTCAGATTTCGGATAACTTTAACTGGGCCGTGAAACATAAAGCTCCCTATGTCTTCGAACCCCGCTTCCCGATGGGCCCCGTTCATTTCGTGCCAGATCCTACATACTCCTAAACCGACCGATAGTATGTACCTACTACTACATACAATATGTGGTTTCTCTGCTATAGGAATCATAGGCCGGGGGAAATCTTCGAGCACTTATCGTCAATTCGAAGATCTGTACATAGCTTCTTACTCCTGGGGGGAGGGTGACATCTTGAAGCTGCTGGTACCCTACTGTCGCCAACATGACTCGGGTCATGTATTCCGGGGTCTGTATGTATACATGTAGGTATCACAAGGAAATATTAAAATGTAGCTCGCACCATCACAGGGATACATGATCATTTTTGACTGGGTATTAGAGTGCTGTATCCGTACCTGAGTTATCCTGATTTGGCGCGCGCTATGCTGCTTCCAAATGAACTTATTATGAAAGTGGCTATAGCTAGAGTACATGTATGTACTTATCAGCGCATCTATACCTCACGTATTTGCGTGCGTAGGGCTCGAGTACATACAATTTATTGTAGGCTACCGGCACAGCGTAAGACTACATAATTTGTGAAGCTTAAAACTTTGGATTGATTGATTTCTTTGAGCACAAGCAACTACATGTAATTTAAAACGAAGATTAGTTAATCAGTCTCATTACAATGTTAGTAGAGCCCTAGATGGGTACATGTATGTACAAGTATATATGGTTTAAAACTACATGTACTTACTTGATTAGGAACATGAATCATCTCACAACCAGGCACATCAGTACTTTTATTACAGCGGGTTTCATAATAGTGGGAATCTTCAAGCTATTACCTCTCTAGGTAATTTCAATAGCCTCATTAACTACATGTAGGCAATCCGGCCGAAAGTTTAAACTGAGATACCTAATCTAGTATCTCGAGTTGCCTAATGGAGCACTCTTGCTTTATTTTACTATGCTATGTTTTGCTCTCTCGAGCCTAGTATTATGAAACCCGCTGTAAATTACATACTTACATGTAGTCTTGGGCACATTTCCCCGCAAAGTCTACTATAGGACTGTAACTACATGTACAACTGTGGAAAGATCTGGCAACAAATTACTAGTCTCATGCGCCAAACATTATTCCGAAACTCCCGCTTTACAGTAGGGAAGGTACTTAAGCTTTTGTGTCGAACGGAATACCGGGAACTCGCGTATCTGACTTGAGTACAGTCCGGATTCCGTTTGTATTGATCCTTGGCAGTGGGTCTGGCCTCAGCCAGCGCAGCTACATCTTATCCACAACAGGATCCTAGCTAGGAGTTAACTACATGTATGTGCACAAATACATGTACAGCCACTCATCAAAAGTGTTCGTGATTTAGTTTTAATGTCAGTGCGCAGTGTGGCGCACCCGTAACGTTGATGTTATGAATTAATGTTGAGATTTAAAACAACGAAAAATATATAATATAGTTCGTGACTATATATAAAAGAAGATAGGTCATTGATCTTATTCTTCATTGATTCCGGGCGCCATTGATCACTGGGAAAGTCTTCTCTTGGGTTTTTTTTGATGGTCCGCCACGGTTACCTATGGAGAGATGTCTCACTCCGAAATCGGAATCACGAACACTTTTGCAGAGTGGCTGTATGTACTAAGTAATTATTCTTTCCCTATTCTCCAGATACTCCTTTTATCTTTCGTACCAGAAGCTGTCGATATGCGCACATGTACTCGCGGTGGTTTTGTAGGCACCAAGAGCTCATGGCCCCTCGCGCGCATCCCCAGTAGCGTGGTTACAAGATCATTAGTAGCATGCTAGCTATCAACTTGATCCCTGTGTACGCTTCCTAGAACTTCCATTCCGATATCGGTACATCCTCGCGGGTTACACGACACGCGCGCAAGGTTAAAGCAAGTATATGTGACCGTTCCATAAGATGATAAAGAACAGCGCTATCCCTCTTCGGAAGGCTATATTTTATAGTACCGTCCAAATCTATCCAGGTGATATAGTATTTTGGTTTGTGTGGCACAATGTTTTGGCAGGGTAAATAACTGAACTCTCATGCCCAGATAAATTCATGATCGAGCTGCGTTCAGACAATTAAAATGCCTCATAAAAGAGCGTATAGATTTCGCTTCATAGTAGTCAAGACAATTCTTTGTTTATACTTCTAATTCTTTAACTTCCTCTGGCCGTTCTGTTAACTCATATGATCATGCCCATGACCGGCAAGGGCCATGGAGTTTCCCTAACAGAATACCCCTTAGCGATACTCATTCTCGAGTTCTCAGTCCATAAAAGCTGCGAAAGGAAGGTGAAGATTATATCAAACCACTTCGGATTTGTAACTATCGAAAAGGCTAATCTCAAAGTTGGAAACCAGGATATCGTGGTGTGTTATTTAATGCACCTATGTTCGGCGAAAACTCGGGAAATTACTGTTATATCGCTAAGTACCATTTGAACCATGGTTTTGACAGCATCAAGCATCGATTGGGCTGTGATTTAACGGCCATGCATGATTAGAATGTGATATTGATGCGAACTCCTTAAGTTGAGGTCCGTTCGTTGTGCTAAGCGATTGGGTCAATGCCAAGCCACGGGAGAGGTGCGAGTGATTGGTGATGAATATCAAGGCATACCTGGCTTCTCGAATGAACTGTCGAGACACACCATATGGCATGGTTAAAAAAGACATGTATTGCATGTATCTTCTGCCAATATCTATTCAGGTTCGGCGGACAGTAAGAATCCGTATCAAATCATCGTTTTCAACGTACCTCCCGACCTCACTATAGCTAGCGATGACTTGCGAGCATTGCATAATCCTCGAAATCATTTTTCATGAGTCAACTTGACAAGTTCATTTGAATCAAAGGTAAGTCTTTAAATCGATTCTGCCGGTTCTGATTGGTTAGCCATAGCACACACCATTCGCAGGCCACCATAGATATATATGGCCGCTGATATGCACCTGTGTGTATTATGGAAAGGCAAAATATTATCGTCGTTTCCACCCGAGAAAGCTAATTAGAGCGCAAAATCAAGATCATCGTCGAGTTGTGTAGTGTTTATCAGGCAGGAGCTTTCAGGCCCGCCAAACAAACACCATGGTGGCTGTGGTCGTGGTTTCAGATCCCTTCTCCCCCAACACTCGAGAATCTAGGCCCAAATAGACCTTAGCATCGTGACTTATCAATATACACTCTTGAATACCGGATCTTTGCTGTAGTAGGGCCTAGGGGACACATGCGATTGAGTACGCAAAAGCGCCATGCTACATATGTTTCTC